CTAAATGTGACAAGTCTTGCAGTATTCCAAAGCGCCATGTAGTGTCATATGCCTTTTCGATATCGAGGAACACAGAAAGAAAAAATTGCTTATGAACAAAAGCGTCACGAATTTGTGCCTCGATACGGACAAGGTGGTCAGTGGTGGACCGAGCCTCTCGAAACCCACACTGGTATGGGTCAAGTAGGCCAATAATTTCAAGGAAGTGCATCAGGCGCCTGTTAATCATTTTCTCAAAGACCTTGCAAAGACAGCTGGTTAACGCTATCGGCCTGTAGCTGGAAACTGAGGCCAGGTCCTTGCCTTGTTTTAGAATTGGGATAATGATAGCTTCCTTCCAGGCTGAGGGTAGCTCGCCGGAAGACCATATCGCATTATACAATGAGAGGAGAGCTTTCTGGGTTTCAGTGGGCAGGTGTTTTAACATTTCTTATGCCACACGGTCAGGGCATGGGGTAGATTTATTGCAGCAGGTAAGTGAGGCTTGTAGTTCAGCGAAACAGAAAGGTTCATTGTGTGCCTCATGTTTGCGCTCTAATCTTTGTTTTTATATTCTGGTTTTGTATCGTCGGAACACTTCACTGTAGTGTGGTGAGCTGGAGACCTGTTCGAAGTGCGCTCCTAGAGTGTTTGCCTGGTCTTTCAAACTCTCCCCTTGTGTGTTCACTAGATAGAGCAAATGAATGTGCTTTTCGTCCTGCCACCTTACCAACCATTTTCCGGACTCTCGACTCATCTGTGTATGAGTTAATGCCCGCTAAAAATTCATGCCAACTTTCCCTTCTTGCCTGTCGGCGCATCCTCCTTCCTTGCGACTTGATGTTCTTAAAGTTCACAAGATTCTCGGCTGTAGGCGAGTCTCTAAGCAACTTCCATGCCCCCCCCCCCTCCCCCCTTTTTTTTTCGTGCATCACAGAACTCATTATTCCACCATGGGACTCGTTGTTTGCTTGATGGTCCACATGTTAGGGGAATACATTTAGTTGCTGCATCAACCAAGAAACCAGTAAAGTAGTACACAGCATCCTTTATGCTCAACGCCGTCATGTCAGTGCAAGTTAATAGAGTCATTTTTTTTTAAATTTTCCCAATCGGCTTTGTCGGTGAGCCATTTGGGAACCTGTGCAGGACATGTACTTGTTATTGATGTGCTGATAACGATAGGAAAATAGTCACTACTGTATGGATTATTAATGACTTCCCATTTAAGTAGAGGCAGGAGTGATGGGGATGTTATGCTGAGGTCTACTGTTGAGGACGTATTGTTAGCGATGTTGTAATATGTTGGCTCTTTTCGATTCAGCAGGCACTCACCGGAAGAAAAAAGGAACTGTTCAATCAGGTGACCTCGCACATCGCAGCGAGAGTCATGCCAGAGGCTACCATGCACATTAAAGTCTCCTAGGACAAGGTAGGGGTCTGGAAGTTTGTTTATGAGGGACTAAAATTAATGGTTCTCAAGACGGTGTTGTGGAGGTATGTAGAGAGAGAGCAGATGGTGACGAGCTTATTCAAAAGAACTGCTCGAACAGCCACCACCTAAAGGGATGTTTGTAGTGGTAGGTGTGTGCATACAATCCCTTGATTGACTATAATGGCAACACCACCTGATGGCACAATGACATCATTTCGGTCTTTCTGAAAAATAATGTAACGACCTAAAAAGTTGGTGTGTTTAGGTTTCAGGTGTGTCTCTTGTACACACAGCACCTTAGGTGTATGTTTGTATAAAAGTTCCCGGATATCGTCGAGGTTTCTCAGCAGTCTTCTGACGTTCCACTGTAGTATTTGTGTCATTTTAATGTTGTGTGGTGCTGTGTGTACAAAAGTGTTGCGTTAGGTTACACGGCCTTTTGGCGGCTCTGTTATTCGAGGTTTTTCTTTTTTGGCGTGCTCCAAGGAGTCGCACCTATCCTTCGTCTTCGGCGTTTGAAGCGCCGGAGGAGTGGGACTTGTATCCATCACCTCTTGTGAGGTGCTGGATGGTGCCTGCTCGGCAGGCACGTTCACAGAACTTTCGGACCTGACTGCGCTTGCAGTGGTCCGAGGTCCAGCAGACACGGGGGTCTGCCGACCCTGTTTGTCGGATGGAAGAGCAGTACAGGCTGCTCCAGCGGGGGCGCTGGTGGCACTGCCGAGGCCACACTCTGTGTGACTTTTGCGGGTGCAGAAACAAGTGGCGCGGCGCCCCGGCATGTCACATCGGCGAAGGAGGGAAAAGACTGGTTGTGTAGAGCTTCTTGGAATGACAGAGTAAATTTGACCTTAAGTTCTACTAATTGTTTCTCTTTTTTCCATGTGGGGCATGATCGCGAGTAGGCAGCGTGATCTTCGAACAATGAGTTGTTTCTGAGGTGCAGTTGTTGGATATGTGTTGCATGGATGCATACTTTGCGCAAGTGGCGCACTCTCTGCAACTCTGCGATCCATGCCCGAAATGTTGACACTTGAAACATCGACAAGGATTGGGAATGTACGGTCTTACACGGAGCTTACAATAGTCGGTTTCAATTGATGCTGGTAGGTAACTGGTTCCGAAGGTAATTATTACGTGTTTTGTAGGGGTCTGTTTGTTGTCACGCTTGATTATTATTCTCTGTACCTTCACAACGTTTCGGTCTTGCCATCCTTCTAACAGTTCGCTTTCACTCAGATTGGTAAGATCATCATCAGAAATTACCCCACGGACTGTGTTCATAGACCTGTGTGGGCCCACTAAAACAGGGGTGTCTTCAAATGTTACAATTCTGGATAGTTTGTCGTATTGAGTTTTGTCACGAACCTCCAGAAAGAGATCCTGACTTCCCATCTTTGTCATTTTATAACCTGGGCCTATTGCTTCGGTGAGAGTTTTCGACACGAGAAAAGGTGAAATTGCACGTACTGTCTTCTTTTCGTTCTGACTATGAATAACATGGTACTTTGGGAAGGTTGGTTTTGGTGTATTGAGCATCAGCGTGTCTTCGGTGCGTCACCTTTTCAGGGAGCGATCAGGAGGGGAGGGGGAAGCATTAGCCATAAATAAACTATAAAATTCAACAGCGGTGCCAGCCGCCCACCAGCGAGCCTAACCAGGGAATCAACATATTTGCACAGCGCAAGACTACGAGTAGTTACGACGTAAATACAGAAGAAGAGACAAGGACAGAAAGAGCGCTGCCCAACCAGGGGACGTGGCAGGAGATGCTGGGAAAGTCCTTTCGACGCCAGCTGTGCAGCGTTGCTATAACCTAATATGGAATAGCTAAGACTATGCACACACAAGGTTAACTCTTGCCGCCAAGAAATTTGGAAGTAAACGGAAGAGAGTAGAAGACAGGACAGATAGAAAGTGAGAGATAAAGACGAAGATATAGGGAGAGTGAGATAGGAAAAGGCGACTGCCGATTTCCCCTGGGTGGGTCAGCCCAGGGGTGCCGTCTACGTGAAGACGGGGCCAAAGGGGTGTGTTGCCTCTGCTGGGGGGGCCTTAAAGGTCCAATCACCCGGTGTCAGCTCAACCCCCAGGATACATTTTTCCCCGGACACGGCAGAGCCGCGCACAGCAAGGCGTAGGAGAGAGTTGAAACTCCCCCGTTAGCTCGGGTCCGTGGTGTTGCTATGCACCAAACGCCTACTTACGGAGACGCCCCTGCGGGGCTCTGGTTAGGTGTTTTCATGGCTTAGCATCTTTCTACAGTAGTGAAGCGACTTTTACAAAACGTTGCACGCGAACTAATATGCATTTGGATGAGTGCTTTCACAGCTTAGCACCTCTACACTGCAGTGAAATCACCTTTATGGGGGGGGGGGGGGTTACAGGCAATTTAACATACATTTATTCGTTCATTTCGAGAAATTTTCAACAATTTAAATTTGGATAGCAGCGAATCCTAACACAGTAGTATTCATTTGCATTTGAATATTCGCACAAGCCCAGAAACACCGAGTTCCCACAGGAGTTCTCACGAGTGCACTTCAAGAGGTCCAGCTTTCATCAAGCACAAAAAAGCTTTGTTGCTCAGGTCCAGCGGCTGAAATGTGTCGTCTACACGATGCAACTCCCGTGTGCCTTGGCCAGAAAGCTACTCAGTGAGCTTTTCAAGGAAGGCGCTGGGAAACGCACAGCACAGGAACAACAGAAAACTTGCGCGATTCCTTACGTCCACGGCAAGAGCTACGCGCTCAAGAAGGTTGTAAGCATTGTGGTTAGGTTTTTGTTTTCAGTTTGCCGTAAACTCGGCTGACTGTGCAGGCAAGTAAAGACTGAAAAACCGAAGAAGCACACTTGTGCGAAGAACTTCAGTACTCAATATGTCGAACGTGTTGACAATGTCATCTACGACATTCCTTTGTCGTGTGGCCGTTCTTACACAAGATAAACTGTCCGCTGCTTGAATTACTAGCTTAGAGAGCATGCATGCAATCTTAGGTTTTCAACAAGCAGCACCTTGGCAGGTCACTGTTCATCATGCGGTTCCAATCTGCTCTTCAATGAGTGAGGTCCTTTTAAGATATAAAAATCGCATCGAATGCGAAATCAATGAAGCCTTTCAGATCAAGAAAAAGGGGTGCAGGTGCATCATTGAGCCTTCAATTGCCCTTCTAGAAAAAGAATTTGTGTTTTTATCAAGCTGATTGGGATATCTTGACTCGTGGCAGGCTTTCACCACCGTTCACCATGTTACAGTTCATGTTACTGTTTCTATGTATAGTTATTTTTTACAGTTTATATTTCCCGACGCAATAAATTTGTGCTAGTTGTTCGTTGGCACTTGTGTGTTAACCCTACTAATCCCGTTCTTGAGCTGTTGCCATGGCACTAAGGGTTCTAATTCTGGAGAACGTGTCAGTGTTCCCCAAGGCCAGAAAATTTGGGGACTTCTGCCACACAGCACTATAACCAAATTGGCAATTTGGGAATGTTTTCAGCTTATGTGAAGGATCGAAATAAGGTCATCAGCATTGGTAACGAATAAAAACCGCTGAAAACCTGCAAAAAAGCAACAGCATGAACGTACTGCTTTCCTGACCAGCCCAGCGGGGCCAGGGGTGCTGATGCTGTGCTCCTGAAACCAGTGGACGATGGATTCTTCGGAGACCAACTCCCGGTCGTACATCCACTTGAGAATTCCCCCGACGGCCGTGGAGTACTGCTCGTGCAGTGCGATGAATTCCTGCACAGTCGAGAAAACACATTGGCTCTGCACGTAGGATTTATAGAAAGCAGTGACTACCACGGCTGGTGGAGGCATTCTTAGCATTGACAAAGCAAATTCAGGTTTGAAAAACCATAGATATGCAAAATCCTAACTCGCCATACACTACAATATGATTATGAGACATGCTACCGTGAAGGACCCCAAAATGAATGCTACCACCTGGAGTTCTTCACTACACAGCTGTGTATTAGATCTAAGTAAGCTCGCATTTCATCTTTATAAAACTTTCCATCAAGGTTGGAGATCACAACATGTCCTTAGGCATAGCATCACAACCAAGAACTACTTTTCGTACAAGTTACAAAGTTTGCGTAAGCTGATTTTCTTTGCACAGTAACATAGGGACAAAAGCAAAGGAGAGAACAGTGCGATGTGTGTCAATGTGCTCTGCTCCATGGCCTAGTTATTCTTTACATTATGCATTTTAAGCCAGCGTTCTTAGAAGGTTTAGTACCACTAGTATCCCCCAGTACTAACATAAACAATGTGCTTGTTATGAAGTGCAGTAAAACATGGTAAGTAGCAGCCAGTTGGGAGCACACACTAAAATGTAGTATGTACTACATGGTAGCACCCAAGTAAATGTTCTGACATGTCACATCACTTTTAACCACAAAATAAATGCTAGGCCACTGCATGCATTGTTGACAGTACCCACTACAATGTCTTTTTAGCATTTAAAAAAAAGTCCAGAAAATAACAGTGGTCCTCTAATGTAATCATACTATACAGGAGTAAGATTTTTCTAAACAAGGAGAGTTACAAAGTAAGCTAGCAAATAGCAATAACCTGGAATTATAACTGTGTGCAGTGTAACTGAAATGGATGTTCTAAACCCATTAGAACAGAAGTTATGGTACGTTGAACATTCACAAATGAAATCCCAGATTGAAATTCTCTCACTTGGGAAGGTTCACCATTCCATAAGTTGTGTTAAAATAGGTTTAGAGCGCATATTTTTGTTGCACTCCACACAGTTCCGATTCCAGATTATCATGATTTAGTTTGTAAAGCTCTCTCAGTTTGGAAAAAATCTTAATCCCTAAAGGATACATAAAGCATTTTGTATTTTAAAGACTGCATAATATACCAGAAAGATGATTGCAGATTTGAAATCATCAAATAAATATTAATAAACTTCCCAAGGTTCATCAAATTTGATCAAGAAACATAAAGTTCTTGAAAATAGTGACACCATTTATGATTGTTTAGGCAACATTATTGACGATTATTTTATTGCATTTACAGTCGAGCGCAGTTATATTAAACCCACATATATAGAATTTCCAGGTATATCGAACTCATAAGTTATTCTCTTGAAATGTTTTTGTAAAAGTACAGAAATTCGCACGTTTATATCGAACGGTATTTTTACGCCGCCTTCGGATATATCAAATGCCACGCGAGCTGGAAGGTGCGCTTCAGCACTCGCCGTGCCCTGCGATCACCGCGCGGTGCCATGCCTCCGTCAAAACCCGAAACGCTCGAAGGACGAGAGGGCTCGGACTGCACAATCTCTAACCTGCGGAATGTCTTTTTTTTTTCATTTCCATTTCTTTCTCTTATGCTCTCTTCGTGTACCCGTCCACTCGGAGAGCAGGAATGAAGGAGCCGACATCCTCCTCTTTTTGCCTTTTCTTTTATTTTTTGCAAGGTTTGATCAGCCAAACACAGCTCGCGCTTTTGGCTGTTGCCCGCGCAGGTGGTCATCACTTCGCGAGCGCTTTGCTTCTGTTGTCGCATCGCCTACGTACCACCACATGTACAGCGTTTATCTTTTGCATGTGTGGTGTGCAAAGCCGCTGCGGACTCCTTGAATGGACGATTTCTCGTGTAGCTATGGCCAGCGTCAAGGAGCACAAGACCCTTGACTTTGCGGTGAAGTTGATGGCTATTCAGCATGTTGAGGCGGGCGAGAAATGTTGGACCGTTTGGGACGACTTCATGATATTACGGAGCACTCCGAGTACCTTGTTAAAAAACAAGGCAGATATCACGGCACAGGCGGTGGAGCAGCGAACATCGGGAACCCGTATTGTGCGCGCTTCTGCCCACGGGAATGTAGAAAAGGCACTTCATGCCTGGTTTTTAGCAGTGCGCACAAAGAACATTCCGGTGGATAGCCCGATGCTGATCGCCAAGGCCAAATGGTTTGCCGCTGCACTCGGTAAAACAAATTTGCCGACAACGCCGGGTGGCTTCACCGATTTAAGCAGCGCTACTACATCATTGGCAAAACCAATTCTGGTGAAAGCGAAGCTGTCAGTAGAAAGACGCTAGTCTCGATCTTCTCAAGGCTGTCCAGGTGCGACAGCCCCGTTACCTCCATATTGCCGATACAACTGCAAATGACGCCTAACGCTGCCACTACTTCTACGGCGGAGTACGCGCGTGAAGCCAGCGCCTCATCCCGACGATCCTCCTCGTCACTTGAGCTGTCGGCTTGGGCATCCTGGGACCCTGAGACCGCAGCTACGATGTCCTCATCAACGAAGCTCGCAATGGCCTGGACATTGCAGTCTGCTTCGACGAAATTGTCCGCAGACACTTCGTGTGGAACTGCGGCCGGAAAGAGGGACGACAACTCGCGAAATGCGTTGTCTATACATTCGTCGTCGCCGCCTTCGCCGGTTTCCGCGAGTTCTGCCGCCTGGAAGCCTGCCTTGCGGAAGCAGTTCAGCATTGTGTTCATTTTCACGTCTCGCCAGGCACCCGTCATCATTTGTATGGCACCAAGAAGGTCAACCTTCAGCTTAGTGCCCATGCGGAGGTCCATCAGCAGCCTATCAAGGGGTCGCCTCCTGTAGCCCAACTTGAAAGACTTGATGGTGCCCTGGTCAAGTGGTTGCAGCTTGGCTGTCCTGTTGGCTGGCAGAAACTTCAGCTCTATGTTTTTCAGCTCGCAGTTGGCGTGAAGGGCGAGCAGTTGTCCACAAAAAGACAAGCGCGACACCCCGACTTGCCCAGCTCGACGTCCCATGCTTGCAGTCATTCCATAAACAGTTGACACAACATCCATGCCTTCTTGTTTGAGGTGTAGCAAACGGGGAGCTGCTTACAGTTCTTGACACAGCGCGGCGCCCTTGCTTTTCCGATTACAAAGGGCTGGAGCGTCCAAGACCCATCCATGTTGGCTGCCAGCAGAACGCTCACGCAAACTTTACTCATTTTGCCCTTGTGACACGTGGTACCGCGAACGTCGAGAATCTTGCTCGGCAACATTTGCCAAAAGAGACCGGTCTCATTGGCATTAAAGGTCTCCGTGGGAGAAAACTTCGCAGAAATTTCCGGCCACTCCTTCGTCGTCCACTGCTGGATGTCGTGGCTGTTGACAGCTTCGCTTTTGCCAGAAATGGTTTTCCCAATGATGTACCGCTGCTTAAAATGGTGAAGCCACCCAATGTTGGCGAAGCTGTCTTCATCGAGTGCAGTCGCAAACCATTTGGCCTTGGCCATCAGCATGGAGCCATCCACCGGAATGTTCTTAGCGCAAACTCTTAAAAAACCAGGCATACAGTGCCTTTTCTACATTCTCGTGAGCTGGAGTGCACACACGACAGGCTCCCGACGTTCGCTGCTCCGCCGCCTTTGCCTTGATGTCTGCCTTGTTTTTCAACAAGGTACACAGCGTGCTCCGTGGTATTCCGAAGTCGTCCGCGATAATCGAACATTTCTCGCCGCCTCAACATGCTGAATCGCCTTTTAACTTCGTCACGGAGTCAAGGGTCTTGCGCTTCTTGACACTAGCCACAGCTACACGACAAGAAGAAAGACTCCGCAGCAGCTTTGCACACGATGCACACAGAAGAGGAATGCTGCACATGTGGTGGAACGTAGGCGACAGGACAACCGAAGCAACAAAGTGCTCGCTAACTGCGAGGGCAACAGCAAAATGCGGGAGCTGTGGTTGGCTGATCAAAACCCGCAAAACAGCAACAAGAAATAAAAAAGAAGGCATTGGCTCCTTCGTTCTTGCTCTCCGAGCCGAGCCGACGGGTTCGCGGAGAAAGCATAAGACAGAGAGAGAACGAAAAAAAAAAAGCTGTTTTGCAAGTTAGAGACTGTGCACTCCGAGCCCTCTTGCCCTTACTTTTTTTCGTGCTTTTCGGGTTTTGGCAGAGGCAAGAAAAGCCCACCTTTGAACTCACACACGGGGCCGTGCTGTCGCGGAAGGGTGAGTTCCGAAGTGTGTCTTCCAGCTCGCACAGCATTTGATATATCCAAAGGTGGGTGAAAATACTGTTTGATATAAACGTGCGAATTTTTATACTTCTACAAAGGATTTTCAAATGGGATAATTTGCGAGTTCGATACACCTGAAAATTCGATATATGCGGGTTTGATATAACCATGTTTGACTCTATTTACCACTTCGACTGCATATTTGGCCAAAGCTGCATGTTCAGGAAAGTCAATTTGCATTTTTAAAAATCAAATATACTCTGAATAAAGAGAACAGTATACGAGTTGCATTCGAAATTTTGAATATTCAGACACATTTTGTGAATATGTTAGGCTCTACAGAGACTTGGGTGGGAATTCACAGGAAGTGCCCTTTGGCTGTCAGTACGTTTAAAATGAGTAAGCATCAACGAGGTTTTGCTGTATCCGCTACCTCACCTCAAGCCCCAGCAGGCAGTCGGCCATGGACTCGGGATCACGGACGTAGTTGCGGAGAAGGGCATGGAACTGGGCAAGACACTCTCGCAGCTTTCTGCCATACTCAGCCACGCTCGGCTGAGTCGCTGCCTCACCGCCACCGCTGCCCGCCGTCGAGGTCACGAGTAGCAGGGGCATCTCCAAGACCACCCGTGTCACGACTGCTATCACTCCCCGCATGGCAATGTTGTATGCGTACCTACCCATCGCAAAGAACAGGCAGCCACTTAGCATCATGGCAACACACAATGTGTCCCGCAATCCTTTTCAAACACACACACTAGCCAAGTATATCTTTTTCTCTTTCCAATACCAACACCATAATGAAACATGAATTCATAACCAGAGTGCATGGATACTGTGTATCAACTCTGGCATGTTTAAGTAAAAATAATATCTGGCATCCCAAACCCACGACGTGATTATGAGAGATGCCGCAGTGGAGGGCTCCGGAAATTGATTAACTCACGGCTCACTGGTCACTTATCTCCCAAGAAACTAGCGACACATGTGACTGCCAAGATGTTCAAGGTCCACTACCTTGACCATGAGTCTTACACTAGCTAACACTGTAGAGAGCAGTTCTGGCGTACATTTACACCCCAGAAAATGCACAGGAAAATGGTGCTATGGGCGCTTGATGGTGTGAGCGCAGCATGCGAAATGCCAACAAGAGCTTTCATATCCCATTTGTGGGCAGTTCATTTTTCTTGCATTTTTATTTAATTTTATAACTTACTTTCAGTCAACTAAAATTGAAAACTTATTCTCTCCTTGATTATCATTAGCCTCTTGGCTCCTATTGTGATAGTGATTAACTGAAGCTCAGCCCCATGTATCCCTCCTTGTTCATTACTTTTACCATTGCAGCATCACAGCAATGAAATATGAGCTTTCATTACCCCACATTGCAGTATTGCTATGTTATGCCTTCAACTTAGTTTGCCTATTATACTCAACTAAGGATACCGACAGACCAAGCAAAGCGTACGAGACATTATTTCTGACTCCTTAACTCATAGTATGATGTAGTTAGAAGACCAGCAGTAGTGTCCCCAGTGCTGTGCTTGCCTTAGTTGTCTGGTGGTTTTATTGCCTGACCGTCTTACCTAAGTGTTGATTATTTATTTGTTAATTTATTCATTCTAATCCACTCATTACTCACCGTGCTGCCCACGCAATGGTCACAGAAATGCTACCACATGCTCTGTTACGTTTCAGGAACTCAACCTACCCAGTCGCATTGTCTTAATAGCACCTAACACTTCGATTCTGCTCGTGGAGGTGACACTGACTCAAGTCATATCTGATGCCTTTACTCTCACCATACAGTGTTACCCACCGGTCACACAATGTTCTCAGTTAAGAAGCTTCTTGCCGTTGTCAATGAATAAAAATAAGTGATACCCTTTTATGTGTAAAAGCTAACAAAAAGTGCACTATACAGTTATCAGAATTACAAAAAGTAAGCGTTGGCACTTTCACAACTCGTCTTTTAGCAACTTTCAATAGAGTCGCATGCCGCGGCGCCCTCACCTCGATGAGTTGATCTCGAGGATGAGGTTGTCGCACTTGACGTTCTCCTCGACACCCCGTTGCAGGCTCTCCACAACCTCGCTGTAGAACACTGTGTGGAAGAAAAAAAAGCTTTTTTTTTTGCATAGCAACCTGTCTTGCAATCGAACTTTTAGCAACAGTACAGCAACACTACAAGTGGCATATACTACAGCATTGAAGCTGCCTTGCTACAGTTATTCTGATGTTCAATGCACACTTTCAGTATTGCCACAAATAATCAGAGTTATGGCTGAACTTCTGATTAACAAAGATTTCAGGAACCGAAAATATACATAAATAAATAGGTTGACTGCAATTTGCCAGAAATACTCAGGCAAATGTTGCATTAGTTAGTGAGGAGAAAAGAAAACAATCAGCTGTCATTGTCAATTCATCAACAAAGTTCTGAAGTAGTATACTACATGAGAGTATACTACAATAGTGATAGCATACTACAATAATATCACACATGTAATTGGCTCTTTCAGGGAGGTGGCATGCTTTTAGGTCAAGACAGATTTGCAGCCAGTGAGTGTCACAAATGGAGTTGCTATTAAGGTGTGGGCACTGATCAGCCAAATTTGAATTCACGATCAACTGCGCAACAATCTTACCAATAAGAAGTAACAGTCCAGGCGAGCAAGGCCGTACAAATACTGGCTGATATTTCTGGTCGGGGTTGAATAGATGGTAGTTTAGTATTTAAAAACAATATTTTTAAAGTAGAAAACTGCAGCTGCACTGAGAGAGAACCTGTCCCCTAAATGGTGGACATAAAAGAGACACTAGCCTAACGCAGCCATAGTCAGTGATGACGGAAGTGTACAATATGCAGAAGCCACTGCACTAGTAGCATTATTTTTATTATTAATATTACTTCATATGCATAAATAAACTCACAAGAATGCAGAGGAACTAGGGAGACAGCATGCTTACAAATGCCTCTAAGAGGGGCACAATGCCTACCTACTCTTTCAGGAGGAGGTAGCCAGAGGAAAGAAAGAAATTACAGACTCGGATAAAGTTAACCAAAACTATAAAAAACACATCTACAGTGGAATCCTAATGATACGAATTTGTAGCGAGCATGCAAAATGTTTTCATTGTCCCGCATTGGTATGAACCAAAACAAGTTAAAGCTGATCATGCAAACCAACAAGAACTTTATTGAGGTCATGTACTTCTTGCTGAATAAGCCAACGATGTTCTTTTCAACTTTTCTGACTTCACTGTGCTCAAGAAAACCGCCTGAAAGGAACAAAACAATGCCGCAGTTTTCTCACTCATGCTGCTCGTGCTTAAGACACTCTCGCAGCTTTCTGCGAGGCGCACTCACAGTTGACTTCTACTTTACTTTACTTTAAACTTTATTTCGTCCACAAGTGTGTGTGTTGTGGAACAGGAGGGCTCGAGAAAAAGTGGATTTATCCACTTGAGAAGCCTCGAGCCCCCGTTTTACATGGCATACAGCGAGAGCATGGAAGTGATTATACAGTACTGATATAATACAAGGAATCTAAGGAATCGATAGCGGCAAAACTCAATGAAAATTCACTCACTTCACTGTTTAAGCGGCCAGAAAATCACGGCGCAAAGTCGACATGGAAAAAAATTCCACAGACTAGTTCGTTGCGCTGCTCGTGTGCTGCGGTCAATTGTGCGTTCTTATTGCCACGTTCCTTCCTCAAGTTTTCTTATCATTCCATTAGGCTGTACGCAATTCCCAGCACAAACCGCGCCTACAGTGTTCGAGAAGTTTCAAGACTGCAGTAAATCATTTTGTTGAGATTACGCCCACTTCGTGAGCATTTCAGATTATTCTGGAATCTACGTCGCCGCTAGCGATAACGTTAGAATGTTCGATGGCGAGTGTATAAATGCTGACATGCTTCGCCGTTTGTCAGTTGATCGACGGCCGACGCTGCATTTGCTGCTATCAGTGCAAGTGTGCTACTGTAGCCTGACTTCCCGTTTACCAGGCACAGGTTTGTAAACAGTTTGATTTGACCATCCAGTCTTCTGCCTTCAGCCACGTCACGACCCAGTGATAGTATCATCTGCGGTGGCTGGGGAAACTATTCAAATAACACCAAATCACGGCGCATATTATGTAACATAGTCCATTCGAATCAATCTCAAAATTCGTATCATCGCAAAATTCAGATAAACCATAATCGTACCATTGAGGTTCTACTTTATAAGCATGTGACCAGGTCTGTTTTGTTCGTGAAAGTCAGCAGAGCTCAATTGGCCTGGCCACATCGAGTGGCACATCTCCTCGGAATGAGGTTATCACCGAGGGTCACACGCTCACATCCAATCAGTCTATATTCTTTAATCAGCAATGCCCGCTGCGTGACTAATGCAGGATACTCTAATATAAGGCGTCCATGGGTCTCACAGGAGCTGCAAGACGCACAATTTAGATGATGTAAGCGTATGCGCACCAATGCAGAGCCAACCCCTCATTTATATAGGAATGCTCCGGCATGTTGAGGCAAGCCACGACCTTAAAACACGGGAAGTAGGGTAGCATGCTCCACTTCCAAAGCACGCAAAAAGGTTAAGCATCACATAAAGTGGGCTTTTCCACACCATTCTAGCATCTCCCACATTTGGGCCTTTTCTTATGCATAGGCCACACTGAGGGTCCTTTTTTCTGTTTTACCTTTTCTTTTCTTAGTTCATGACACATGTTTGTTTCCGGTTGAGGGCCATCGATTACGGGAGTGCATATTTTGTTATATCACGTTGTTGATGATGGCAGGGGAAGTTGGGAATGACGTACATGCGTGTGATGTACTTATTAGTGTTCACTTCGAAATAAAATTTTCAGTTGCTAGTAAGCGCTTCTCGGTGTCCTCTCCGAGTGTGTGTATTTTTAGCACTTGTTTCATCATGAACAGATTATCCCTAAACACCACGTCATCCCAAACAATCAAGCCTGACAGATGGTACCTCTGGGGCTTTACATGCAAGGTGGGCATTCATCGTTGTAGCCCTTCCCTTAAGAAGACCTCCTGCCATGCCAAAGGGCCATCATATTTGCAATAAAGATGGTTCACCTATTCATTCACAAAAACAAAAGCTTTCAAAGACGGGGTAGCACCCTAGGAAAAACCTGCCCTCGGTGGAATGTGAGGAGAAGGACACTGACATTTTGTGTCGTCAACAGGCGATGCCGTGCCGTCCGAGGAGAGGTCGTCCTCTTCGGGTCCACTGTCCTCGTCCTCCAGAGATGGTGGTGACTTTCCCCAGACGTCCTCAGGCAGAGCCTCATCATCATCTTCATCATCATCCTCATCCTCTGGGCGACAGAGGAAGCCAAGCCCTTCCTTGCCCACCAAGGATGGGTCGCACTCTGCACAACGCATACACTAAAAATGTGAGCGCTTTGATACTGTTTCATCAAGGTAACAGCACTGTAGAGGTATGCAAATATTGGAGTACCTGAACTACTGAACCTAATACTGTCCTATTAGATTAGATGTACAACTTACTAACTGCCGTGGATCCGTGAATCCTGAGCCAGTGCCCCCCGTTCCTGCAGTGAAAGATAATCTAACAAAGTTTGGAAGGGGGGCTCCCGTTCGGTTGGGGATCAAAATTTATGATGGCGGCAGAAGAGCCACTCTTGCTTCCAATGAAATTCTTTATTGAATAGACATGCATTCACTGTTTTTATTCGTTTCTGTCAAGCAAATAAAAACAGGCTAGTGCGAATAGTGATTTTGGTAAAATATATTATCGCATATTATTTTTAAAAATGGTTATATTTGTCATGACCTAAGTAACCTGCAAATATTTTTTAAAAAGAAAATGAGGGCTGTGCAAATGCCATTTTTTTATATTAGAGAAAGTACAAATGACTTTCATATGTAGCAGAATTTGACTTTCAAAAGAAAGCAAGAGATAACCTGTTATATATGTTACAAATTAAAATTTGCTATATCCTGGGCATGTAAGTCAGTATAACAAGATTTTAAACTGGGAAAATGAATCAACTTGAGGATAGTACGTTCACTTAACATTCAAGTGGGACATTTCGGCAGCGCGGCTTTTCCCTGGATATGTGTTTTTTGACGACTTACCACCATTTCACTGCAGCGAAACAACCTTTACAGGACATCACATGTAAACTAATAACCACCTATTTGTTCGTTTCGAATAATTCGAAGCATTCGAATATTCGCACTAGCCTAGTGAATGGATCACTTATATGGCAGGAAGGCATGAGGGATGCTTGTTCAGTCATTGGCACATATTTGAGATCTCCCGAAAAGGGGAGGAGTGAGTTTCCTCAAGCAGGGGTGCTTGCTCAGGATGTTACGGTATTTGAAAATAGAAATAGCAATCTTGGAATAGCTCAGGAATAGTACTTCAAAATGTCAACAGTGTTTTGTATTTTGATTTTATATATCTAAGTAATTGCTGATGCTGTTGTGCTGAGTGTGAGAAGGGCTGCATCAGGAGGCTAACCATTTCTCTCCGTCATTGCCGCACATGTTAACCCAGGGCTCGGAAACCTTTGGGGGCGAAGGCCTAAGTTGCATGAAGCAAGAACGGCGAGGCCCACATGGCAAACCGAAAATTGGGGGAGGGGTGGGGACTTAGCACTCTGTCACACCGGTCCCGTTAATTGGGGAGGCGATCGCCGGGCTAATTCCAAGAGCCGAAGTATCGGCCCCCCGAACCGCACCACGAAAGCGTGGACAATTTGGAAGTGGTCCTTTTTGGCGCGCCAGCGGACGCCGGTTGTGGCCCAAAGAACAAGTCAGAGCCGAGAGTTGATAAACAGAACAAATATTATATTCTCGAAAATGGCAGATCGAAACCAATACACAAAAATGCACACTCCACAATAGTTGCATCCAATATGTCACCAACCAAACCAATCAATCAACGTATTACACAATACAATCAGCCACACTTGAAACAACGGACACAGGCAACAATACGCACTACAATGCAGTCGCATGCATTGAACAACCAAGACACTTAAGGACTAAAGAGATAGAAAACCTATTCAGTCCAAAGTCCTTGGAACAAAAGTCTGAATGATACTCTTCCGAGAATCACTCACTCAAAGTCCAGCGTTATTGTCGTTCCGTAGTTCTCGAAGTTTCTCTTCCAGGAAACCTCCCGTCTTCAATTGGCCACTCTTCAAACTTCAACTTCTTCGCCGGAAATCCGTCGGCTTCACACACGCAGCTGTTGCCCGCGTCTTCGCTCGATAGCGGTAAACCCACGCTCTTGCCTGTAGCTCGAGCCGTCCCTACGGACCAAAAACTTCGCCGACTACACGGCGGACTCTCTACGCACTCTGGCGCTAACTTCCGTCTCCTCCTGTTCTGTCACTACGGGCAGAACCTTCGCCGACTCCACGGCGGAATCCCTACGCGCTCCGGCGCTAACTTCCGTCTCCTCCTGTTCTGTCACTACGGGCAGAACCTTCGTCGACTACACGGCGGAATTCCTACGCGCTCCGGCGCTAACGTTCCGTCTTCTCCTGATTTCTCGTCTCGGCTGCTCGGTTAAATACCTTGCGCGCGACTTTCCAGATGTTTCTCGTCATTTCGTCGGCGCGATACGCAGCGAAGGCTGGGGAGAGGCACGAGACGGTTCGACTGCCCTCTCCGGAGGATGATTCACTCGGTCTGACCCCGCCTCCTTCGTTCGAGAAAAATCGCGGCCTTGCTGGGCCGCCGATGTGGGGTGAGGAGGATCGTCTGCGAAGCCGTGCTTCTGCGGGGAGAGTGCGCGCCCGGGAGCCCGGATGTTTGTTTTCTTTTTTTTTTCTTTTTACCTCGCGGCGTTTCTGCCGCCCGTTGTCGCAAGGATTTGGCGGCGCGCTCTTTTTTAGCGCTCGTTCTGTGACACTGCCCCCCACTTTAAGAATATTATCTCATAATATTCAAAAACCACACAGACGAGCGCGAACAGTCACCACACATTCTCACAGACTGTAACGCAATCCGTCGCTCATGACACTTCACATTCACAATATATCACTCAATACAATCGTACATTGTAGTTCAATTCCACAACACATGAAATATAGCCACAGGTACATGCCTACAACACTTCATCACACATTCTAAACAATACAACCGTACAAAGTTCTGTCTATCCAACAATTATACAACACTATACATCACACCATCGCACAGAACACTGACTCACTCGACATACACTTGAGACACAGGATAACAAGAACATTAACACAACATATGTCACTCGGCCCTGCCCAACACATTCTGATTCGACTTAAACACTTATCCTGTGTACTTCGTGCAGCGCTTGCGCCCCTTTTTGCGGTGCTCGCTCGATCTCTTCTTGTGCTTCCACGTTCTTTTTCGGCGAGCCCTTTCCAACGACGATATCTGAGGCGGCGTCTCAGCCATCGTTGTCACTTCCGACACCGTTAACGGGTCATTACATTCGACGGGTCCTGTCTGTTCATTTACCCGCTTGATCATGCCTCTACATTTTGCCCGGCTGGCCAACTCCGTCTCCTTTACACTGTCGGTCGGTTGAGGTCGTGCCGACATAAGTCCGGTTGCTCGGCCCGTGAACTGATTCGACACGATCGTCTTCTCCTTCGCTGTCTCTTGCGCCGCGGCTTCACCTTGGGCTCTAGTGAGATCCGTCACGGGATGTTCCTCCACTGTATCTCGCGGCCGCTGTGTTGGCGAGGGCTCTATCTTCGGGTCTTCTCCCAAACATTCTGGATCACTTGGCCCTCGCGCCCCGTCGATGTTTCCGATGACAAGGTCATACAGGGGGGTCGTCATGCATAAAGCAGTAACCTTCCCGCTGAAGTACGGGGTTTCAACCTCAATTTCTGCTTCGGGAAGCATCCGAACCGTACGGTCAATTAGGCAAACCGGTTTCGTTCTGCCTGTCAACTCACTTTCCCGTACCAAATTTCTCCGCACGATAACCGTGGAACTGCCGGTATCTCTTAACACCGTAATCTTTTTGCCCGCAACTTTTCCAGGCAGCGTTGGCATTCCTTTCGTAACACCGGTTGGCTGTTTCGACATTACAGCACCCACAATAGGAATTTTCTCCCCATTCTTCAACTCTACGAATCCATCAGTGACGGCATTATTATCAGATTTCGGTGCTGCTTGCACACAGGATACCTGGTGAGTTTGACTCACTCCGTTCCGACAAGCATCTGCTTTGTGCCCAGTCTGACCACACTTAAAACATTTCACTACCGTAGGGCTCGTAAAGATCGTTCGACAGTTTTTCGCGCGATGACCCACTCGGTTACACAGAAAGCATCGCTGAATGCTCTCTGGTGCACGCTTCTTTTCTTCGGGAGCCGATTTCTTCGAATCATCGGGACACTCCTTCTTTACCTTGGCCAAATTAGTGCCACCTTGCGCTTCCAAGAATTGATCAGCCAATTCAAGCATTCCTTCACATGACTCAGCCTTCCTCTCTTTCAGATAAAGCGACAGGCTTGGGTGGCAACTAGTAAGAAATTGTTCTCTAATTAGGAGCTCTCTAAGTTCATCGTACTCCTGCGCTGTCCCTGAAAGTTCAATCCATCTGTCGAAATAATGACAAAGTCGGGCGGCATACTGCGTAGCCGTCTCACCATCAGCTGGCTTTCCTGTCCGAAACCTGTCCCGGAATCCTTCCACAGTGAATCTAAATCGCTTCAACAAAGCCGCTTTCACCTTTGCGTAGTTGGCTGCATCGGTCGGCGTCAGCCTACCGTACACACTGAGCGCTTCACCACTCAAGCAGGTACTCAAAGCAGTTGCCCATTGCTGTTCCGGCCAATTCTGGCTCCTCGCAATCGTCTCAAATCTGTGGAGGTACGCGTCTAGGTCGTCCTTCCTTTCATCAAACGCTACGAGCAGCTTGCTTGGGTTCAAGCGGAAGCCGTGATCTTCACGTTCGCTGCTTTCAACTCTGGCTTGGACGGGAGTTTCGCTTCGCTGTTGCAAACGGAGCCGCTCGAGTTCCATCTCGTGCTGTCGCTGCCGTTCCCTTTCCTCTCTTTCTTCTTTCGCCCTCTCAGCTGCCAGTCTTTCTTTCTCCAGCTCCAACTTCAATTGCAGCTCTCTTTCTTCTTTCAGCTGTCGCTCTTTTGCCTCTCTTTCTTCTTTCAGCTGTCGCTCTTTTGCCTCTCTTTCTTCTTTCAGCTGTCGCTCTTTTGCCTCTCTTTCTTCTTTCAGCTGTCGCTCCTTTGCTTCTCTTTCTTCTCTCGCCCTTTCAGCGGCCAGCCTTTCTCTCTCCAACTCAGCTGCCTTTTCTTCCTTGGCCCTCTCTGCCGCCAACCTCTCTCTCTCCACCTCAGCTTCTTTTTCCGCTTTGGCTCTTTCGACCGCCAACCTCTCTTTTTCCAGCTCGGCTGCTTTTTCTTCTTTGGCTCTCTCCTTTTCTTCTTTTTCCCTCTGGGTGACCCACTTCCGTAGTTCGACGCCAGAAAGACCCATCTTTTCACCAAGAGCAACTAACTTTTCGAGATCCATTGTGTCTCGCAACTCGCAACTAAAACCTTGCCGCGTGCAAAAAGTATCTGCCTAAATCAGTCTATCGGAACACTCTCCTGCACTCGTTAACGAGAACACTGAACAACACACAAAATCGTTCCGATAGCACTATCAACAACTCGAGGCTCTTTCTCACTACTTTGGACACACTGTGCACCAAAAGGTCCTGTCGCGGACGCCAGATTAATTGTCACACCGGTCCCGTTAATTGGGGAGGCGATCGCCGGGCTAATTCCAAGAGCCGAAGTATCGGCCCCCCGAACCGCACCACGAAAGCGTGGACAATTTGGAAGTGGTCCTTTTTGGCGCGCCAGCGGACGCCGGTTGTGGCCCAAAGAACAAGTCAGAGCCGAGAGTTGATAAACAGAACAAATATTATATTCTCGAAAATGGCAGATCGAAACCAATACACAAAAATGCACACTAGACAATAGTTGCATCCAATATGTCACCAACCAAACCAATCAATCAACGTATTACACAATACAATCAGCCACACTTGAAACAACGGACACAGGCAACAATACGCACTACAATGCAGTCGCATGCATTGAACAACCAAGACACTTAAGGACTGAAGAGATAGAAAACCTATTCAGTCCAAAGTCCTTGGAACAAAAGTCAGAATGATACTCTTCCGAGAATCACTCACTCAAAGTCCAGCGTTGTTGTCGTTCCGTAGTTCTCGAAGTTTCTCTTCCAGGAAACCTCCCGTCTTCAATTGGCCACTCTTCAAACTTCAACTTCTTCGCCGGAAATCCGTCGGCTTCACACACGCAGCTGTTGCCCGCGTCTTCGCTCGATAGCGGTAAACCCACGCTCTTGCCTGTAGCTCGAGCCGTCCCTACGGACCAAAAACTTCGCCGACTACACGGCGGACTCTCTACGCACTCTGGCGCTAACTTCCGTCTCCTCCTGTTCTGTCACTACGGGCAGAACCTTCGCCGACTCCACGGCGGAATCCCTACGCGCTCCGGCGCTAACTTCCGTCTCCTCCTGTTCTGTCACTACGGGCAGAACCTTCGCCGACTACACGGCGGAATTCCTACGCGCTCCGGCGCTAACGTTCCGTCTTCTCCTGATTTCTCGTCTCGGCTGCTCGGTTAAATACCTTGCGCGCGACTTTCCAGATGTTTCTCGTCATTTCGTCGGCGCGATACGCAGCGAAGGCTGGGGAGAGGCACGAGACGGTTCGACTGCCCTCTCCGGAGGATGATTCACTCGGTCTGACCCCGCCTCCTTCGTTCGAGAAAAATCGCGGCCTTGCTGGGCCGCCGATGTGGGGTGAGGAGGATCGTCTGCGAAGCCGTGCTTCTGCGGGGAGAGTGCGCGCCCGGGAGCCCGGATGTTTGTTTTCTTTTTTTTTTTCTTTTTACCTCGCGGCGTTTCTGCCGCCCGTTGTCGCAAGGATTTGGCGGCGCGCTCTTTTTTAGCGCTCGTTCTGTGACACACTCAGAGATATAAAAATGGGCGGATTGATGATAATTATGTATTAAACTGGCGCAGAAATCATGTTCATTGTCCGCGCGCACGCCACAAGGTTTGAATTCATAGACACAGCTAACAAGAAAAAAAAAAACTCAATTCAAATTTAGGTGCAGAATATTCTGAGCCAAACTGAAAGTACAGTTGATCCTTTTTAGAAGAAACATGCGCCGGGGAGCAACTCTTGTATTTTATATGAGGTGTCTCTCATGAGCAGGGTACCCCCATGGATGCATTTTCTTACCAACTGCCAAATTCAAGGTAGGCACATTGATGTCTCTTATATGTATTTGTCTGTTACATCAGTGTCACTTATACAGGGGATAAGCTGCATAGTAAATCAAGGTTGCTCACAACAGACTCAGAAAATGATGGAGTTGTTCATTGGTTAGACAGGAGGCATTAATGGTTATTTAGGGGAAGGGGGGTTCCCGATGTCGCACTGGGGGCCACATCACACTGCCCCACAGGCCGCACGTTGCCGACCACTGTGTTAACCCACAGGGCAGCAGAAAACACAGACGCGTTTGAAGAGATTGGCAGGCTGAAGGGATCGGCAGGAAGCAAATCTAGGTAGTGTGTTGGATAGAATATGCTTACTTTGAAGTGCACAGAAGCAAAAGTACACTTGGCAATGATAACTCCATTTAAGCTTGCTTTGTAAATCAAGCCTCAAATGAAGCACTACTTCAGCTATACTTTCTGCAATGCATCAGCAGTCAGTGGGTTGTTCTGTCACTTTGGCAGAACAGTCGAAGGAAAAACTACTTGCCTTCAACCTGTGCTGGCTCATCCTCAAAGCCGTCCGTGTCGGGTGTGGGCTGGAGCAAAGTGCCTTCCTTCAACTTGATCTCCGGTCCCACCACCACCTGAGGAAAATGCGGTTAGTAGAAATACTCAGATGATCAGATTGTGAACACTGAAAGCTTTTCCAACGCTAGTCAAAAGTAACAAGCGGTCAGTTGGTGAATGCACGTGCCGGACGCATAGCAATAAATGCAAGATTAAAGCACGATGTTCAGATGAACTAGGAAGGTGGACATCACAGACTCTAGATTCCTGCACTACAATAGACATTCAATGTATACGCACTTGCATGAATCATTTTTCTCAAGCTATAGCTACAAAAGGAATGATTGACAATCACTTGATTAAAGCCAAAAATGCATATGGATTTCTCAAAAAAAAATTATGGTTGATCCTAGTCCGGTGATCGGTCACAATTGACGATGTTAGGATTATTAACATGAAACGATGTAGCATTTGTGATTAGATTTCAGCATTACCAGACACAATTCTATGGCTACAAATTACATAAAGAATGTGATCAACGTTTTCGCTGTGAGGGGTCCTTTAACCTAAAGAACAAAGTTGCATTCGAACCAAAGTACAGCACAATCTTGGTGATGTGAGTCTGACGGGCCAGTGAAAATATTTATGGTGTCACCCAAAATTTTATACGAAAACACGATCAAAATCCGTTTTCGAACCGTGGGTCTATCATAAAAAAAAATGCACACATTTTTTGTTCTGACAAGACTATTCATGGCAACATGGTATAAAACTAGTTGGGCAATGTTGTGAAGGGTCCTCCTTTTCCACATGGCCAGTCACCAGTTTACTCCTCACAGTATGAACAGAATGATGTGCCTCTGCGTGAAATGATTTTTTCAACATTGTGACACGCTGCAACAGAGCCATTGCTTGAACAGAGGTGTACTATAAATTACCTTACAAAAAATTCAACTGAAACATTTCAAATGCTTAAAGAGGCCTTAAAGGAGGACTGCATTTGATGATCACGGTGCAAGAGATAGCACAGGGCATTCAAAGAGTGCCGGGAGGAGGTTGCCGACGAACCCCGTTCTCGACGCCCTGCAATGAGCAGAACCAACAAAAAACATAAATCGTGTCCGCAAAGTTGTAGTTCTGAGCGCCGATTGAGCATGCAGAAAATTGCCGACACCCTGTTTGTGTATGCATGTAAGGTACTTGGGATAAAGAACGAGGATCTGCAAATGTGCAAGGCCTGCGTGAAGCTTGTGCCGGCGGTGTTGATGGAAGATCAGGAAGCACTTCCGAGTATTGCACTGTCAAGAATTGCTGGATTTGATTGAAAGTGAGCCGGACTTTCTCTGTTGTAACTGGAGAGGAATCCTGGATGTTTCCATTTTGGGACGACCCAGAATGGAAAAGGCAGAGCAGCGAGTGGCACACAAAATCATCCCCCGATGCCACCTCAGCTTCCTCTTCTTCAACAAAATCTGGCACGCTCCAAGTTGCTCCATTACTATTTTGCCAACACCATCCGTCACAACGAAGAAAAGTGTTCAGAAAATTCGCATTCTGGCCCATTGGACACAATGAAATTTGGCTGGAGATTGATTTGTGGGGTTTAACGTCCCCAAACCACCATATGATTATGAGAGACGCCGTAGTGGAGGGCTCCGGAAATTTTGTCCACCTGGGGTTCTTTAACGTGCAATTTGGCTGGGGAATTTCAAGAGCTCGTATTGCCAGGATTCTAGTGAATTCAGCAGAACAACTTTGCAGACAAGGATCACAGTGACAGCATGCGTTCCGATTTCCAACTCTGCGCCCAGCACTGGAACACACTCACCCCGAAGGACAACACACATCCGGGTGTCACAGTGACATTGCGCTTTAAGACCACACCACTGGCCAACAGACACTGCTGCAGGCGGCAGTTGTCCTCCACGACCACATTGTCCCACAGGTAGGCATTGCGCAGATGCACATTGTGGCCTGTGAACACAGCATGCAATGCAATGGCACCAAATCAATAAGGACAGTGAGATGTCTCGGACCTCTGGATACACCTTTCCCCATCACCATTTCAGAGATTTCGACTTCCTAATTTTCTGACGTTCCTTTAGCTGCAGCACAGGTCATGATGTTCCTGCTTTCTGGGCAAGCATATACAATGGACTCGCAATAATTAAAACTCAAACTTTTGGCCAACTCAAACGAATTTCACTTTTTTTGGGGGGCTATATTTTTTATGTATTGTAAAACTGCTCAATTCAAACTGCTCTACTCCTTTAAGTTGGTTAATTTATACTTCTTGCTTGTTTCTGCTGCAAAAAACCAAGAAGTGTGTGAAATATTTGCTAAGTCACTTTCGTCAAAACACGCTGTGTCATGCATAAAAGTGCACTAAAATTGGAAAAATGCTACCAGCTGTCATGAGTTGACTACAAACATGTGCACATGCCACATAATGAGTACAAGTACAATCACTGATATCTAAAAACTTAGCCTGCAATTATTCAAAGCTGTCTATGACTCTGCTGAGGCCCTGAAAAACAATAAATACATCATATTTATGGGAACTTCTGGGGATTAAAACAAAATTGTTGGGTCCCTGCTATAGTTTGAAGTATTGAGAGCCCAGTGAATTCGCCATAAATACTGTGTAGATGACATAAGTGTCAATAAATATAAATTAATCTCGCAAGTTATCTTGCCCTTGAAATTTTGTGTCAGTGCTCCTTCAAAATAGCTCTTGCTGGTTACCATGCCTTACAAGAATATTTTCTGCCTGAAGTACCTTTCTTTTCAGTACTGGCTATGCAGATAATCAGTATGCCATGCTAAGTCAGCTGACAATGCTCTGAAGGACATGAAAGTGGTAGTTTAACCCATAACAGAACAGTTCCACAATAGTTCAGGTAGTGTTAGGTGTGGCAAGTCTTACATAGTACAATACGATCACAGTTTTAGTAAACACGAAATGATGTACACAAGCAACTTGCTCGATTAGGCCTCTAAAAATGTTTCTGCATGACATGTTCATTCATTTAGTACCTAGCTACATATAGCAGGATTACATGCATATAATTGGAACATCATGACAACAATAAAAGGGGGATAACAGAAATTAAAGGACTTTATTAAACTCTTTGAGAAGATACACTAAAATAATGTCAACAATAAGTTGTCTTCAAGCGACATTGAAATGGCCATATTACTTGAAGAACACTAATTAGCCTGTTAATACAATTAGAATGCCCTAATATCTGTGCCAATAACTATAACAGACAATTTGGGCAATGTTCAGCAAGACATCTGCAATGTACAGGATTTGAATTTGAAGCCTGCAAATGTGCTACTTTGATTTACAAGAACATTAGAGGTTGAACACAACAGTACACAACAATATTGAGCTATGAACACTGCTAAAGCAAACTGCCTACCAACATTCAGGATCTCTGCAGAGTTTAGTGCTGGTTTTGCCAGGCTGAAACTCTGCAATGAAAGGCTGTTGATGACTGTTTCACAAAACACATGCAATATCAAACAGGCGAACATTGAATCGCATGTACACAGGACAGGAACAAAAAAAGTGCTGGACAGAGCGCTCTCTCCTGTGGCTGTTTTGCTTCTGTACTGCATTGGCATTTGATACTCTATTGATTGACAAGCCATGTTCAGTTTTCACTGCTCAATAACATGCTGTTTGAAAAGATGTACCAATTATCCCAAGTTATACAGGTTGCTGATGCATGCACTGTGTTTGCCACTCCTCGATACAGAAGAAAGCGCCACCGACTCACCGATGGTGCAGTTGCGGCCAATCACCGAATTAGCCACCACAGTGTTGTCCCCTATCTTGGTGCCAGAGCCGACAAATGTGCTGGACTCCAGGACACAGCTTCTGCAAGGTTAGCATTTAAAATTGAGAAAATTCTCGAAACAACAGAAAGATGAGCTGCTCAATAGGCATTCATGCTGCAGAAACGCGAGGTGTGCAGACACAGAAAACAGCGAAAGGTGTTGGTGTTGCCTGCTTCCTTGCACTTGTGTTAGAGCAAACCTATTTTTTTTTGGAAGTATTTACATGCCGACAGTTATTGATCTACCAACTGCATAGCCTGGATGCACGATGCAACAACAGCAACACGTACGCAAGCAATCAGCTTTTGAGAAGAGAAGTGTTCCAAGTGTGGACATTTTATACGTGTTCATCTATTTACAACATACTGTACTTGATTATAATCAGGGTATCACAACCTTACCAACACTGATGGTGTTGCTTTGAAATAGATGTTTTAAGGTTTTCAGAGCCTCTTCCGAGCTCTTATCAAGAAGACATACTCAAATGATCATGATAATGAGATGCCCCGATGACAGCAGTGAAATGACCATGTCGCTTGAGAAACGCGCATCACCCAACTAAAATCATTCACACAAGATGTACCTTGAGAGTTGCAGTCCTGTGGTGGGCTTGTAAATGTTGTGCCGGTGGTAGACACACGATGGGCCATTCTCCTCAATAAACCGGTCGGGCACGAGCGGATGGCTCCACCTCTGCAGTACGTCCTGGCTGCAAAGCACGAGGTGGATTACTTTGGCAGGCACACTGGATGCAACGCTAAGTCACGAGAAAAGTGCACAGCAAAATCATAGCACTGAAATTTTATGAAAAGCATCGACTATGAATGCTCGCATTTGTTGACCCTTAGTTTTGTCGCACAAGTATGGCAGCAGCGCTGTAGTTCCCACGAACGAACCCACCTAATGGCTTGAATGAAATTGACACCAGCACCTCCTTCAAAGGTTTTGATAAAAGTAAATATAATGCAGAAACACATTTGAACAACACATGCACTTCGATTTTCTAAATTTATTTTTGCTTTCCTGTCCTGCATCGAGATTTGCACAAGCTCTGTGACTTATTTCCTGTATACATTATACAGTAAAATGAGAATATTTTAAAACCTTTTTATTCAAGCTGCTGGATAATTTGAAAAGTATGGTTGGTTGCAGCTAAGCTGTACTCATTGGATGCAGCTCAAGCCACCAGATGCCATATTTAAAGGAACTTTTTGCAATTCGAACTCCATTTTATTAATACGAATTTCCAACCTCCTTCGATTTTAGATTAACAAGGTTCCACATTATTGAGGTTCAGCAAGTGTGAAAGTTTTACTCATTTCACTGCAACAACCTCACAGTGTCACATTGTCTTGATGGTGAAGAAAATGCAGCCAGTCTTTAAAGATGAAATTTTTCATGCAGCAGACTGGTGCCCCAGAAACGAACAGTGAAATCACAAGCGATACATGTGGTTCACTTATAAAAGCAATCACAGTAATCAGCCAGTAACAATTGATTAAGGTTAACGAACATCAGCATTTACATATGCGACAGAAGACACATACTAGCCTTATCGCTGGTGGTTGCGTTAATTCCAGAAAAACAGTGCTCTTTGCATCATGCATTCTAGCGTAACAGAACAATCTAAAATAATAAGGAATGTTCAACAATCTAGCATAGCATGCGCAAGGAAGTGGTTACTTGTGCAACGAGGCGGTTACATCGAAATAAGAAAAGCAGTGCGCATGGCAATATGTACATGCACCTCTCGACACTCCTCAAACTATTAAATATGTTACGGCTGACCCAATAAATTTCATCTTCTTCGAATTGCTCTCTGAAGTTGCAAACCGTCACAAACCAAAGAAGCACCAGTACTTCCTTTATTTGATTCAATTCCAGTGCAAACGGGAGCCGTCGGTCCGCCTTAGTGCACGGAGTGGTTGTGATGTGACGCTATATATTGTGTAGGGCTGCTTGCGTCACACGTGCGTGCGAGCGCTTTCTGACGGAGGTGGGATAGACGCATTTGCTACTTCAATATCATATGTCTGTCAGATTTGTTTCCTTGTGCTCCTTTGTGGCTCGAAGCGATGCTGCTGCCACCTCACAGCACTCGTGATGCAGCAGCGTCACAGTGACGCGTCCCAATTGGTTGCCCGCATAGCGCCACGAACGAATACTGTAATTACTTGAATCTAACAAGCACCTTTTTTCCGGTTAGGCGGGTCCATAAATCCCATGCATGTTGGAATCGAGTACGAAAAAAAAAATGAATGCGGTCATTCTATTGCCATCGGCATTTTAAAAATGGCTGCCTCCTACGTGCGTCGGCCATTTCTGCCATTGTATTTCTCGCGTGTGGCATTTTGTAGCGTGCTGAGGAGTTCATTATCTTGTAGTGCACTAACATCGACGGCATGGAAGGGCCGATTCCAAAGATTCGACGAGTGCACCCGATGCCACTTTAAAAAAAAAGTCATCGCGTGTGCAGAAACGGACGGAAATCGGGCTGCATCGCAATCGTTCGGAGTTCCCGAAAAATGCATGCGGGACTGGCGGAAAGAAAAGCAGAAGATTGTCAACAGCTAAGCTTCACGTAAAGGCTTCAGTGGACCATAGCAGGGTCGATTCCCGCAAATTGAAGGGCTGCTCATCGAGTATGGGCTTGAGCAGCGAGCGGCACAGCGACCCCTGGCGACAGAACTGCTCCAAGTGCGGGCTATGCAGTTAGCCTTAGAAAAAGGGCTATTGCAATGCGAGTTCAAAGCGAGCAGGTGCTAGCTAACTAACTTTATGAAGAGGAAAGGCTTTTCTCTCCAAAGGCAAACGGGCATATGCCAGAAGTTGCCGGAGAAGTGCAAAGAAAAGCTTTACAGTTTTCAGAGGTTCGTCCTAAACTTACGGCACAACAACGGCTACCTGCTTGGGCAAATCGGAAATGCCGATCAGACGCCTCTTTATTTCGACATGCCTGGCACTACAACCATTGAGAAGAAGGGGGCGAAGCAAGTTCGTGCATGGTTCGCGTACTGACATCCGGTCACGACAAAACTAGAGTGACGGCAATGCTCTGTTGCACGTCAGATGGGCACAAGCTCCCCCGTACCTGATATTTAAATGGAAGACGCTCCCGAAAGGAGTCGTCTTCCTGAGCGGTGTGATCGTGCGGGCCAACGAGAAAGGTTGGATGACAATGGACCTTGTCGCCAATTGGATCCATGTCGTCTGGCGGAAGCGGCCCGGCGCGGGTCTAAAGCCTGCGAGCGATGCTCGTGCTCGACGCGTTCAGGTGCCATCTCGACCAACGAATCAAGGAGAACCTCGCTGCGTGCAATACGGAGCTTGTAGTCATACTTGGCGACATAACGTCACAACTTCAAACGCTGGGTGTCTGTCTGAACAAGCCGGTAAAGGACAAAATTCGGGCACTCTACACCGACTGGCTGATCAATTGGACTACGTTATTTTACAACAGGCAACAGGATAAAGCGTGCCTCTCTGCAAGACTTCGCTGCGTGGGTGAAGAACGCGAGGTGTGCAATATCATCAGCCATGGTCATCAAGGCATTCAAGAAATGTGGCATCTCAAATGACATGGATGGTACCGAAGGTTAGATGCTTTGGGCCATTGATAGCAATAAGGAGTTGTCCGACAGCGACAAGGACTGACCTATTATGGGACTCATAATGCCGCCGTAGCGGTTACAGTTTTAGCTGCAGGGCCAGCTGTCTGACTTTGTGTTTTATCTTTTGAAACTTCAGTGCATTGAAAACCAAATACTTGTTCTAAATGTGCGAAGGTTGACTCCTACAAACTTTTTTTTTTCTCTTCTGTCACGAAAAATAGGTGCGAGTTACAATCAATGTCTTACTTTTTTTTTCGTTGTGGAAACCCGGTGCCCGTTACAATCGAGGGCGCCGTAGAATTGAGTAAACATGGTATGTGCTATCTCAAAACACTGTGTCTCTTACGGAGCCAGCGCGACTGCCAACATTGTAAACTTGAGGAATGCTAGATGCTGCCCCACGGATCTGTACACAACGGAAAAAAAAATTACTTCATGAGATTTTTGTCGCGAGGCACTACATGTTGGCTTCTCTCCCCCATGACCACAAGGCACACACAATGGCTAGGCGATGGGTGTGAACAGGAAAGGGCTGGAGGAGAGGGTGGTGAACGGATAGATCGGGCGCATCTGGCTGGCATTGATAAAATGGATGAGTGCTGGGAGCACTTCTCTCGACATCCTTTCAAACCAGTTCCTCACGCACAATCGCACACCAAGATCCTCGAGTCAAAGTACAATTAACCTCGGTGCAACTCACCTGATGGCGTCATACATGACCAGGTTGCAAGCTGAAGCCGCGTAGCAACTGTCGCTGATGTGTGTGTAAATTGAGTTGCCCATAATCTGGAACAGTGCAATATGAAGAACAAAGATGCACCACAACACATGGAAACCGCAAAAAGTGGACTCCTGACGGTCAGCGCAAATAAGACACGAACACAAAAAATAAGAAAGGACAGGACACAAGCACTGTCTAATGAACGAAAGTTAATAGAAAAACGTGGCTCATATAAGCAGTAAGGAAGGCCCTAGCAAAATCTTATCAACCCAGAACAAGTTTCTAATTAAGTACGCTTTAGATAAAAAACCTCAGCATCAGTTACAGCAACTGAAAGCTGGCTAACCCACCTGTCTTCCACTTTTATTATTTCGAAAGCTTCTTTCATTTCACATATGTTTGGGGTTGATAAGATTTTGTTAGTGCCTTTTTTACTGTTCATGTAAGCAACATATTTTCCAGTGATCTTTCAGTGGTTACACAGTGCCACTGTCTCGTACTTTCTCCGTTTTGATGTCCTATTTGTGCTGACTATCACTAGTATGTTCCAACTATCTCAATTTGCTACATTAATCCAATAAGTGGAGCAACATTGAACGGTCGAGATGGCATGAAACAACAGGTGCCAGGCATTATGAAGTCTCAGTACTGTAAGGCCTAAGGGTCGTTGATATGTACAGTCGCAATGCAACAACAGGGTTGTTGTGCAAGACACTACCACAAACAGTGCAGCATGCACAAAAATAACACATGATGTGGAAGGAGAGACACTACTTTACATTGGTTGAGCATGTGCACAGAGTAAGGTAACCAGTGGTCTTATTAGAGAAACAGAAAAGATGCCATGAGAAGGGAAGTGCAGTATAAAATGTTCCAGTGTAAATGTCAAGAAGGATGCCGCAGTGAAGTGTTTTAGACAAACTACATAACTTTATGTTAAGCATGCTCAAAGTCATTTCAAGAGAGTGTTCTGATGATCACGTAAGGAAAACAATGAAGATGTATTAGTACAAGCTCAAAATAATTCATTAGTGTAATACTCACCACCACAATAAATCTTACATACCGTAATTACTCGAATCTAACGTGCACCTTTTTTACGGTTAAGCGAGTTCATAAATCGCATGCGTATTAAAATCGAGTGCAGAAAAAAAATGAATACGGTCATTCTATTGCCATCGGCATTTCCGAAATGGCTGCCCCCTACGTGCTTCGGCACGGAGGAAGGAAAGGTAAGGAGAGGCCCTGACGTGACTCGTTGTGAAGCCGCGATGAAGCCGGAAGTCGGCCATATTGACTAGGCAAATTCTCCTCTCTTGTTTAAATATGAATGCGAAGCAGAAGGCACGACTCCCTCTCTGTCTCAAAAAGCACGTGGCCTGCGCGCCGCGTGCGCTGGTGCTATCCGAAACCAACGGAACGGATTTCAGCACGCTGTCTTGCCGCGATACGGCTGACGAAGTCTCTGCGTATGGCTGCTGTACTCTTGCACTGCCGGCGTTTACAATAAACATGGCAAGTTGCACGTTAAGCTTTTTTTTTTATTTGATGTGTTCTTTGTGAAAATAAAGATGATATTTCGGACATTGCCACGCGACGAACCAGGCACCGAAATTTGTAAAGCTTCTTTCAGATCACTTGTTCCCCCTTTTGCGCTTCTCTTTGGGCTTTATGAAATTTTCGGTCAGACTGTGGGCAAGACACAACGATACAAAAAAATAGTCTTCCCTGAAATAAACCCGCAGGTCCGTAATATGCCAGTGAAGTCGGCGTCAAGGTGGAGCTTGTGTGCGTGGCAGCCCGTTGAGTTTGCGCCGGCCTCTTTGTTTCCGCCCCTCTTTTGTCTGACGCGCACTGGTTCCTTCGGATATCCCAAAGGCCATGATTTCATTAGGACAAATTCAGCGAAGGCCACCTGAAAGTGCGTGGGAACACGTCTCCTGCGTGATTCAAGCGCACTAGTAGCTACGGAGAACGGAGACCAGGATTGCGTTAGGGCGAAAGGTGGGAAAGTTAGCCGAAGGAATGCGTGAAAAAAGGTCAACATCACTTGGTCAACATTGTTCGAACGGCTTTGTCAGATTCTGAATGCACAAGCACGTGCATCTAGCGAGGTGCACCTAGTTACCTTGTGCAGGTGCGTGTAGACATTTTAACGAGTTTTGCTACAATACAGACAATATTGCGGAGAGCAAGACAATATTGTGAAGAGGGAGCATCTTAAGTGAAGCAGAACAGGAACTTTAATGCGCAGAAGCATGTGGTAACTAGGAACATGAAAAGCAAGATTAGATTACAGTCTTAATAAGGGACTGTGTACCGCAAATGCATCGTCCGTTGTCATAAGAAGCAACACCGCATAACCGTCACTAACCTGCCAGGCATTCATTGAACGAATTCTTGAGCACAGTCGTTATCTTTTATGATGGCTTTTCAGCATAATTTTGACGGACGCTGCAAATTCGGAGTACGTATACGCGCGCTAGTTCCGTGGTTTCTAGTTCAGACACCTGGTTACAATGACCACCGGAGGAAAATCGCGTAGCTAACAATGCGGCACAAAGAATGGATGCTGTCGAACACCTGCAGTACGCCACGGTTAGGTACGAGGCCCATGAAAACGCGCACACCGCCGCTGGACCGCCTGAACGGTGACGCACCGCACTACATCAACAACAACAACAAAACGCCGCCATTTTGCCTAGTGAATATGGCCGCGCGTGACGTAATTTCCGCCACATTTTTCACGCCCTGCGCCGGCTGGGTATGCCCTCTCCTTACTTTTCCTTCCTCCGTGTACTTCGGCATGGGCCGCATGGCGCGTCGGCCATTTCTGCCTGTGTGTAAAAGCGGCACCACAATGCCGCTTTTTTTTTTAAAAGAAAAGTCATCGCGTGTGCCGAAACAGACGGAAATCGGGCCGCATCGCGGTCGTTCGGAGTTCTCGAAACGTGCGTGTGGGACTGGCGGAAACAAAAGCAGAAGATTGTCGACAGCAAAGATTCATGCAAAGGCTTCAGTGGACCACAGCAGGGCCGGTTTCCGCAAATTGAAGAGCTGCTCGCCGAGTATGTGCTTGAGCAGCGAGCGGCACAGCAGCCCGTAACGACAGAACTGCTCTAAGTGCGGGCTATGCAGTTAGCTTTAGAAAAAGGGCTGACGCGGAGCCAATTCAAAGGGAGCAGGTGCTGGCTAACTAACTTTATGAAGAGGAAAGGCTTTTCACTCCGAAAGCAAACGGGCATGGTCCAAAACTTGCCGGAGGAAAACGAAGAAAAGCTTCACAGTTTTCATAGGTTCGTCCTAAACTTGCGGCACAACAACGGCTACCTGCTTGGGCAAATCGGGAATGCCGATCATACGCCTCTTTACTTCGACATGCCTGGCACAAAAACCGCCGAGAAGGGGGCGAAGCAAGTTCGCATGCTGACATTGGGCCACGGTAAAACAAGAGTGACAGCAATGCTCCGTTGCACGTCAGATAGGCACAAGCTTCCCTCGTACCTCATATTTAAATGGAAGACGCTCCCGAAAGGAGTCGTTTTCCCGAGTAGTGTGATCATGCGGGCCAACGAGAAAAATGGGTGCGCGTTGCAATGGATGTCTTACTTTTTTTTCAATGTGAAAACCGACTGCGCGTTACAATCGAGGGCGCGGTAGAATCGAGTAAATACGGTACTTCATCATACAACACCTGAAACTTAGCAGGAGTGCTCAGAAGTGATCAGTTGCATGCACTATTATAATATATATTAAGCGCACAAGTTTTACAGGTTTAACACTTATCAAAATTTAGAGCCTCGCTGCGGTGGTCTAGTGGCTAAGATACAGAGCTGCTGACCTGCAGGTTGCGGGGTCGAAACCCGCTGCGGCGGCTACATTTTCGACAGAGGCAAAAATGTTGTAGGCCCATGAGCTCAGATTTGGGTGCATGTTAAAGAACCCCAGGTGGTCAAAATTTCTGGAGCCCTCCACTACGGCGTCTCTCATAATCATATAGTGGTTTGGGACGTTAAATCCCACATATCAATCAAATAATTCAAAATTTAGACCCCTGCATCTGGCATTTGACTGTGCAACTTTATGCTAGGTCATAAATTTTCTTGACCACTGAGCAACATGTCTGCAGAATGAGACCAACAAGGCGACATTTGTTCGCTTCTGTTAAACTCTCGTGCAGCGATCGGCCCACAAATCGGCGATCTCTCGACTGACCTCTTCATGCTCGAGGATGCCACGCACGAAGTCAAGGCGCGTCTGGTAGTCAAAGTTGTCAGCGAAGATGGGGGGCACATGCGGCGAGCACACGGCCAGGCGGCAGTCCTGTAGGCCGTGGTGAAGGGACACCCGCGAATGCTCCTGGAAGATGCTCTGTCAAGACAGGGAAGAAGAGATATGTTGCACAGCTGCTCCAGTTATTCGCGAATGACTTACGCATACCACGTTTGAGCCAACACGCACACTAAAATAGTTTCACCAGCAACTGTGCCTTGAATCAGCCAAATTCAGTATCGGATGACACTGTCACTAGAAAAACTTCGATTTGTCCACGAACTTCTCAGCCTTTGTAAATTAAACCATTACTGGAGGTATAAGCTTGAGGAAGACAACTCAGCAGCACCCTGTTGTGTTACAGACATCTGCCAGGCAAACACGGGCAAATATAGTAGCAAACAGCGCTATTCTTGTTAACTTCTGGTATTAATTTCTGGCAGTGGCATGACTGGCACGCTGTTCAGTTTTTACAAGTGTTCATCCCAAGAGAAATGCTTTTCTCCTGGCGATGAAAATTGGTTGGCTCTGGGATGATGGCAATTTTTGTCACCACATGTGTCACCAACGTCATTACTGGCTGGAAATCTTTCCGTGTGGATGGCACTTTACAATGGGACGCTCAGTAATACAAAGACGAGTGAGCCATTGCTTGCGGGTGGAGGTGAGAAAAGACTGGTGTATCGAACTCTCACAACACGACCCTGTGTGAATGCTATTGAAGGCCTGATAAGGCTAGTCTCTAAATCACAGTGGTGTAGGCTGAGCCTTGGCATCCACAAGCTGGCCCTCTCAGGTCACTATAACAAGGTCCATTAGCAAATGTCTTGTAATGGCCAATCCCACCATTGGCCATGTCTGTGAAGAATTTGGTACACTTTCTGGTGCGTGTTCATGACGCAAATGTTTTCCCTCTCTTCTACTCGACCGCACCACCGCTCGTTTTGTGGCAGTGCGAACGTGACATGCACAGGAAGCTTGGAAGCTCCAAAACTTCGCTTTTGGGAGAGCAATGTGACAATCTTTTGGGCCCCATTTGTATTGCTTTCTCATTGACCTGCCATGCGTCACATCTCGGCAGGCGCCTCAAGTGTGCTATGAAGGTGGAATGTTCGTGGGCGTGACATTCGCTATTGTAATCTTTCTAAGGGCGCCTACTGCATGTACAGCAGCAACATACCGATCAAGTCATCAATTACCATTTTGCAAAGCAGCCAAGTAGCCAATATGTGCTTTTAGGACTACACATGCACCTACATAGCTGCACCCTTTGTTGATGCTTTGACTGATAATCAATTGGTAATGGGTTGGCCTTCAAGCCCCCCTCTGTCTCCTCCACAGTGCAATTCACATAGTAGTAGGATGACACCTGTTACTATAGTAGACTTTGCCCACGTAATAATATGAGCCAACATAGTTTCTTGCACCACATGACACCTGTACAGGGTTCTTTCCTGAAGCAGTTCAATGCACAGGTGTGGCTCTGTGGTGGACCACTTCACTGCCACGTACAAGGCTTTGGCTCGATTTCAGCTTGAACTCATCATTCTTATTATTTGAATAAATCACAATTTTTTTGTTCGAAAGCAACACTGCCAACAACCAAATCAACAGTGACATATTTGCGACCCACTCCTTAATGCTACCAGGTTTGACAATTTTGAGCTGACGAACCCATGGCATACATGGGATGTTCACGATCACGTCTGCCAATATTTGCAACACTACACGCCACAGAAATGGGTCCAATTTCAAGATGAACACTGCTTGCCCTCCTTTCACAGGCACGTGCCCAGAAAATGAGGGCATGACGTAGACATAGGAATTGCCCTACATAAACAATAGTGCTGTGATGTTGGTCCTCTACGTAGACGACTGGGCTGCGACGTCGCCAACAGTAGCGTGTGACAGGGCGAAAATTACTTCACACGACAGGTGTAGTTTGTGTAATTTGTTGCTCAAATAAATGAAGATAATGAGGTAAGCAATAAGACACAAAAAGGAAATGTGCACGTCTTATTCATTTTTTACCGTGAATTGCAACGAGATGCGGGGCTAAGGTTTTTGCGTTTTGCATGAGTTTGTGTCCCCACGGTTAGCGCATTGGGCAGACGGCATCACTGGAAATGAAATTATTAGTCCTGCACGTTCAAGCACTCAATATGTTCATCTATTTTAACGCGTCTAAGCCAGCGTTTCCAAACGAGCGTGCATCCATCCTCGCAAAAACAGGCAGTAGACCACAAAGTAACGCTGGTCAACAAAACAACGCCGCTCGCATGCTCGAGTTGGGCATCCTCGGGAACATCATGCGCACGTGACCGTTTGCTTGTATGCCAGAGAGAATAGGGAAGAGATTGGGCTTGCCAAGATTACGTGGGGCAAGCGGCCAAGGTATTGAGCTCGCCTTCTCCCACCACGGTTACACGCGGCTTCAAAATACTGGTTTTCACAGCTCGTAATGAACCGATTGAAAAAATTCTGGAGGCATAATGCTCTTCTTCGAACACACAACAATTGTCAGCATCTGATTGAAATTTGTTATGGGGCTCGGTGAGTGGCCCTTTAAAATAGGCTCGTCCATCTCTTCCCCTCCTTTTGATTACTTACAGCAAGGGTTTCGTCCCAGCAGAGTTAACGCCTTTACGTTTTTAGGCATTCGTTTGGGGTACCACCAGGGAATCAAATATTTTATAAAGTAGAGGGGTCAAAATAGCAAAAAATGTTTTAAAATAGTAAAGTAATCAATAATTAAAGGCATATACGAAAGTGGTATACATTTGAGTGGAATAAACACAATGGCTACACATTCCAAGAAGATTAGAAACAACTTGTAACAGCGCAGTATTTTTACAGCAGGTTAGACACAGCATTCTTAAAAGGACTGGGATTAGCTACGTCTATTATGGAGGCAGCTGTCTGTTGGTTATTTTGCTGTTTGCTGGTAATTTGCAGAGCAAAAGAAGCATAGCTTAAATGTTGTCGGTTCGAGGCCCGCTGACACAAGGGTAATTTTCAACCTGTTTTCATTTCTTTGCATTTGTGTCATAACTACCACGCCACAGTTAGGACCCTCTAGTAATGTGCCTCATACATTGTTTTATGTTTTGAAGTGAATTCGTCAAATAAACAAAGCCTGATGCCACTTGACGACATTTTTGAGAAACCACCAATACGAACCAGGGGAAAGTCGCACTTGTTGGTTGAGCTGGTCTTGATGTGGTGCAGGAGCTTGCCCGTCTCCGGATTAAGGGCCATCGCGCTGTCGTCCTCTTGGCACCGGCGCCGGTGCCATGGGGGCAGCCGCCGATAGATCAGGGTCATCAAGGCACCTTTGTCTCTTGCAATTGTCTTCCTGCATGGTCACAGAGTGGAGGCAGGATGCACGCATGCGTCAAATGCGTCCGCTAAGGAACAGTGCGATCCTAGGAACAGGGGAGTGCTTCAATCATACAAGTTACGAAACTGCCCATAGGCTCCGTGCATCGAGATCTGGCTACAACATTGTCGAAAATTGCAGAGGCCTCCTTACTGAGGTGATGTGTAGGTGCATAAAGAGGCTGATAAATGGTATTTTTGTGCATTCTAGCACCCGAGTCAGCAACAAAATAGATGCCACATAGATCGTGGGAGCAGTGTGTTTATGCCTGTGGCTTAGATTTTCCAGGCGATATTGTGTTCATGGGTTCATCAAACCTCGTTGAAAGTAATTCTCTCAATTGTTCAAATTCTAAAAAAAAAAGAAAAGCACAGAATGCAGTCACTGTGACTGCGTTGTGTTTTTTCTGTCAGGTGATGGATCAGTTTGCAGTCTTCCCCAGATTCGTCCATGGGAAAATCGAGGCTTCATAACGGAGTTTTGCAACTGGTATGAAGAACTCTGAGGAACACCAGCACTCAATATTTCCTCTTGCAAACAAAGAGTTATCAGCGGTTATGGTTCTCACGATGATCACCTGCTAACCCGACAGACGCAGGCTGGAACTCACTCACGGCATTTGAATTTCAGTGGGGGTAAAATGCTAGATGTTTGTATAGAGAGCCCTATCAGTGCACATCGAAGGACTTAAAGGGATAGAGCCACCATATTTGTGGCTTGCGCGTTCTTTGCTGCAAGCGTTTCGTGTAGCTCCAAGAAGCATGATACACGCACCAAGATTCATGTATTCTAGCTGAATGATTTAATATCACCTAAATTATGCACACAATTTTTGGTCTCGGTTTCTAAGCACTGAGTTGGGCAGTGACATAGCAGTGTAAGTGGCCTGGTCACGTGACCGTGCAAAGCCGTGACGTATGTGACCCTAAGAATTGTCTGCTCTCACACACACGTGCCACACAAGCACCTGCAAAGCAAATGTGCCGCTAGCTGCAGCAGCCACGATGCTTTGCCGGTACTCACGTGACGGAGTTCCAGCGATCACTCACCTCACTACAGATTTTGTGTGGTGTAAAAAAAACTTTTGCTGCCCTTCCTATGGAGCTACGTAGGTGCTGGATGCTCTAATGATGAGCCTCAATGAGGAGAATGAGCATTTAGGTACACTTTGGAAGTGATTTAAATTATACCATATTTTTGCACGTATAACCCCCACCAAAAACCCAAAAATTTTAGTGGCAAAGTGAAGGTGCAAATAATACGCAGGGTTTTTCCTATAGTGCTGCTTCACAGCAATGCGTATTGTGCTGTGAAGCCCCTTAACAGTGTAGCGAAGGCTACGGAGGCGGTTTCCGCAAATTCGTGTTGCTCCGCAAGTAGCACGGCAGCTTGCAGCTGATTTTGGTTTCGCTTGCTTGCATCGCTGAAGCGTTAAGCAAAACATTTGGGGAGAGACAATTCGATTGTTCAGTGTAAAATGTCACTGTCACACCACAAGTATATTTTTTGGACGTTCGCGGCCGCTCAGTGACCCTCCACATGTCCGTACGTCACGGACGCCATGTTTACTTTTGAAAAGGGCTTGCCGAAAAGGTGGTGCTGTCTAGGAAAGTTCCATAATAAATAAAGTAAGTTCTATAATAAATAAAGCAGTATTTATTTCAGCAAGAGATGTTATAGTGCCTGTAGAGATATTATCAGTAAATTAATGTACTACTTTTTGACGCGGTAGCAGGCATGCATTTCGGTTCTGTTGTTTCCAGGATGCTGTTACAGTGTACTAGAAGGGGTAGTGCTGTCAAGTTGTCGCCGAGTGTGAGCGCTCTTTACCTCGCTGATACCGCTAGTTCTGCACATCTCGACCCGTTCGCCAAGCCCAAGTCGATCTGTTCTGTCACCATGAGTAGCGTACGGCGGCAGGCCTTCACGGCACAGCAAAAGCTTAAGATAATCGCCGTCGCCGAGGAATTTGGAAATCGCGAAGCGGGAAGACAGCACGATGTGGACGAATCCTGCGTGCGACTGTGGAGAAAGAAGAAAGAGAGCCTACAAACAGCGCACCGCGACCGTATGTCATTTCGTGGCCCCAAGACCGGTGCCTACCCCGAGCTGGAGGCGGAGCTAGTAAAGTTCATCGAAGATGTGAGAAGCAGGGGTCACGCCGTATCGACCGAGATGGCCCAATGGAAGCGCGGCGACTTTCGAGGGAGCTAGGCCTACCTCACGAGTTCCGTGCGAAGCGCGGATGGCTGCACCGCTTTATGAAGCGGCAAGGGCTCTCAATCAGACGGCGGACTACAATATGTCAACGCTTGCCGGCTTCTTATGAGGAGAAACTGCTCAAGTACCAGAGATAAGTAATTGGCCTGCGAAAGCAGCACAATTACATTTTCTCGCAAATCGGCAATGCGGATGAAACTCCTGTTTATATTGAAATGCCGTTGCACACAACGATTGAGAAGACGGGCAGCAGTTCGGTGAGCGTGCTGACCGGCGGGAACATGAAACTGCACATCACAGTCTTGCTTCGTGCCTTCGCCAACGGCACGCAACTGCGACCGTACGTCATCACGTCATCTTAAAAAGGAAAACTCTACCAAAGGTTCATTTGCCTGCCGGTGTGGTGGTGCGGGCACATGAGAACGCATGGATGAACAGTTACTTGTTCGTAGACTCGATCAAGACGGTATGGGAGAAGAGGCCCGGTGTGATGCTCGCAAAGAGGTCCATGCTCGTTCTTGACTCGTTCCACCGCCACACAACTGAGGAAGCGAAGGACCGGCTTTCATGCAACGGCACCGACTTAGTTGTTATACCCGGTGGAATGACGTCAATGTTGCAGCCTCTAGATGTGTCGCTTAACAAGCCCTTCGAAGCGCATGTCGAGCGCTATTACGCCGAATGGATGGTCGAAGGCTGCTACGACTTGACGCCGACAGGACGAGTCCGAAGGCCTGATATTGCCCTATTCTGCAAGTGGATTGTCGAGGCATGGAAGGCCATTCCAGGTGAGATGGTGCGAAAAAGTTTCAAGAAGTGCTGCATCACAAACAGCATGGATGGAACCGAAGATGACCTTGTGCATAATAGTGAGGACTGCGGCTCAAGTGAGAGCTCTAGCGAGAGCAGCGACAGTGAGTGAATTGTGACTGGCCTTGCAGACAGCGTATTCTGATTGCTAAATAAAGCTTTTTCTGTCTACATATGTGCTATGTTGCTTGAGCAGTAGCTTTTGTACAGCCTTTACTGTATATCAAATGTGCGGGCAATACGCGAGGATTTTTATTTTCTTTCTCGGTGAGCTGAAAGTGGGGGGTGTTAATTATATGCAGGGGCGGGTTGTACGCACAAAAATACGGTATTCTGAACATTAGCTGTGTCCAACGATTCGTGTGGAGTGTCCTTGCATGTAAAAGAAACCTACAAGAGGATTGTTATAGCCTCTAAATTAGATGGCACCCCCCCTTTAAGGTAGCCTAATTTACTTGAAGCCCGCCAGGTGATGGGCACATTCAACACGCTAAACAACACATCTTGTGACATTGATGGATTCCAAGTTAAACCAATTAAGTTTATATTTGACATTATTTCGCCGTACATTACGCGTATTCTCAACAAGTGTATCATTAAGGCAGTGTTTCCTCGTGGTATGCAGCTTGCGCGTGTATCAGTAATTTATAAAAAGGGTGACAGAAATCAATCGGGAAATTACAGGCCAATATCTATACTACCAATATTTTCAAAACTGTTTGAAAAAGTTATTCATAAGCGCTTCGTGAGCTTTGAATCTAAGCATTCCCTAATTAGCGACTCTCAATTTGGTTTCAGAAAACACTGTTCGACAGAGCTCGCGTTACTGGAACAAAAAGAACACATTCTAAAGGAATTTGACAAAAATAAAATAGTTATTGGGATCTATGTCGACTTTACGAAGGCTTTCGACCTAATAAACCATGAACTATTGCTGCGCAAGTTAGAGCGTTGCGGATTTCGTGGACATGCATCTGCACTCATAAAATCTTATCTTAAATTCCGTAGGCAGGCAGTTGTTGTAAACGAATTCTTATCCGATACACGGCCTGTTCAGTGTGGCGTCCCACAAGGCAGCATTTTGGGCCCGTTTCTTTTTAACATGTTTATAAATGATATTGTGCAGACTATACCCTTCGCAAAAATTGTATGCTACGCTGACGACACGAGCATATTTCTAGCTGGAGATAATATACGCGAGTTGACAGAACAAGCAAATGACGCACTAGACAAACTTGATAACTGGACAGGAAAGAACGCATTACAGATAAACAGCTCAAAAACTAAAGTCGTCATCTTTAGAGGAAAAAACAAAAAAGTCGCATTAACAAGATATATATGTTTTCAGCGTATTCCCCTAGAAATAGTGCCATCGATTAAAACATTAGGAGTTATGATAAATCAAAAACTGTCCTGGGACGACCATGTAACCTATCTCGGTAGCAAGCTGTCGCAGATAATAGGCATTGTTTACAGAAAACGTGAGATGCTGCCGCTGAACGTGATGATCCTAATCTATCAGTCTTTATTTTATTCTCATCTAAACTACTGTCACTTAGTCTGGGGTACCACGACACAAGAAAACCTAAACAAATTACACGTCCTACAAAAGAGCTTCTTACGCGTAATGGAAAACCTTCCTCGCTGGCACACAACAACCGAACTTTTTACCAAACACAAAATTGTGCGAGTAACTAAATTATATGAGTATCGTCTTTGTTATTCCTTCAAGCGTGAAATCAAGTATAGTACATTTCTACTTCGTAAGATTGCTGTGCTAGAGCCGCGAAAACATATATGCAGAACAAGAAATACAGATATATGGCACGTTCAAACATACAGAACAACTTACGGCACGCAAACCCTGGAAAACCAGCTTCCGCGACTGCTCAATAGCTTCGCAGCTAAAAACGCACCCCTTGAAACATTGACAAATAAAGAGTTGTTATCATTTTTTCTTTCATAATTCCTGTTATCTGTTTGCTCGCGATTTCTGTGCCTTAAAAGTGTACTTCCTTGTATTGTGTCTTTCATTTTTCTTTTTCTGTTATATTATGCACATTTGGTTGTGTTTTTTTTTTATTCTTGAATCCTTGCTGTTCGCCAAGTTAGGGGTCAGCAGCTCAGTCAAGCTGGTTTTTTTTTTTTTTTTGTTTGGAGTTTTCATTGGAACGATCTTCGGATTTTGCAGCTTTTACTGCGGGCCCCTGTCATCATGTACACAGTGATGATGAAATAAACGTATTATTATTATTATTTCATTGGAACAGCATCCGTGGACTCGGCTTCTTTTGTACATTAAACCACATAAGTCAACAAGCTAACCTATGAATTATCAAAGTTCTATGGGATATTGGGTAGTACTATGAGTGCATGCATAAGTCCCCATTCAACATACCTAAGGCAATCACACTGAAATATAGCATCACCACTCTCATAGGTTGCGTGGGGAACCATAAAAAGCTAGAGTTGCCAGTGTATGGTTGTAGGGGATTTAATGTCATGCACAATGGCAACAACTTTGTCCAATGTACATATGTTGCTGTTGTTTGCATAAGGTTTGATAATTAGGGTGATTGATAATAAAGCATCAAAGAAAAAGCCCAACATTATCCCTTTCAGGGTCAATGCGCGATCAACTGTGAATACCTTCAAGATGGTCAAAGACAAAAAAGTACGTCATCACTTGTATGTTTAAAAAGCACACTTATTTCAAAAATTTCTCTTGCTTGGCAAGTCCTGCCACCTTGTGAGAATACATAAAATTTTTTTTCCTGTGATACATTCTTCAATCGATTTTATATTTCAGAAAAAAATTGCTACAATTTTTCCTCAAGTAGATTCACCAAAATATAAATCAGGAATAAAAAATCCAACCCTGGAATGGAGCATTTTGCAAGAAAATACTACACTACTAAATGATAGTGTTAAAATACAAGCTATAAATTGACATAAATCAATGAGCCCAGTGAATGACAGAACTAGGAAGGACTACAACAGTGAGTTAATGCTCACGATACACAGCTTATAGTAGCATGTGACCACGCTCTGAGCAATAAGAGAGCATAGTCACTGTGAATACAAAGGAACATTGTGGTTAAGGGAAAGCACAAGAAAATTGAGCTACTACTTTAATGAAAATGCAAATGCAATAAGCATTGCATCATTGAAAACATAAGCTGCTTCATCAACACCTGCTGTCCATGCATTAGGAAGTACTTTATCTAATGCTGTTAAAAGGGTCACTTGGTTGCTATATTGTCGATTCATTTTAAAAGCCCGATATGCTGAATGTTGCCCAAGTCAATAGGTCAGCGTTCCAACTTCATTCTAGTTTCAGTGGAAGCACTCACCTATGTTCCTCGATAATGGGTCGCAGCGGCACATTCGCCACGGTAGCCCCGTCCAGCAGGACAAAGTCTGAGCGGATGAGAGCTTTGGCATCCAGGTCACGGATCATGTCACCCACCGACAGGTAGTCCTCCGAGGACAGCACGTTTACACTCATCTTGCTTTCTGCATCGGACCATTTGGACTCCCTGAAAGGTGAAAAAAAAAAAGAGAAGCTTTGAGGCACTTGAGCTTCGCCGTCAATAGTAGAACATGGTAGGGTAATTGGGCCCCGTGCGCATCCCTTAGTCAATTGCTAGATACGCTTCTGTTCTCGGTGTGTGTCTCAAGTGTACCGTAAGAAAACAAATGACTGCGCGTGTAACATTGGCCGTTTCAAAGAATCACTGAATGCCTATTGCAAGTACGATTGTCAAGTGTCCAGTACGCCATAGTTTTTACTTTTGAGATAAACAAAGGGCCCACTATGCATCCGCGAGACAGCACGCGAACCTACGCAGCTGCGCACTCTGTTGATGCTCCTGCTGATAATTAAATATGTCTGAGCGCTTTGTAATGAGTGGGACTTCAAACATCCAGCCATTGCTCAATTAGCATCTTTTGACACCTGGCAGGATTCTAGGCTTTCGCCCCGCAATATATGATGCGTTAAAAAGAGTCCTTCGACAGTGTAACATTCATATAGTCTTTCTTCTTTATCTTTCTGCAAAGCAGTTTCAAGCAAGGATGGAACACCTGCTTGCCATGCAGATGGCCTGGATTCAATGCTCGTTCAAACCGAAGTTTCCCGTCATTTATTTTACTTTCATCTTGGTCAATTTTTCAGTAACAGAGAAGATTATGAGTTTTCGTCCCCACCCAACGATGCTCACTCACCACCAAGGCCAAAATTTCTGCGAAACGAGCTCTTCAACGCTATTGTATTAAAAAAGTATTGACACAATTTCGAGGCACCCCTGAAGGGACATCCCTCATTTCCATGGTGTGCACTATCAACGCTCTCCACATACCGGAGCCAGACAAGACGTACAAAATATTTTACTTTGATTTTTTAAGTTTTTTGTCGCCCAGCAACTGCAAGCCAGCCCCATCGCAATGGACATTACCACAGCAAGTGAACGCAGTTTTTTACCATGGTAATGTCCATACCGGTCTGATAAATTTGTGACCTCCATGCAGCCTAAATCGTAACAATTACTCACACTCTCTGGTTGACAATTCACTCGTTGTTTGTGTGAATCACGTGTGACTGGCAGCAAACAGGCAGCTGCTGCTAATATGTCGCGAATTGCAGTCTTCCTGTGATGTCAGACCCCTCTTGACAAGTCACTGCGAAGCACTCTCCATGCCTCTCTATACCGAAACCGAAATCGCTGCTCTAATGCAGCTGTATTAAATATATATTCAATGCATTCCCAAGCACCACGACACTCTTTTTAGGTTTCTCGACACCTGCTTTTTTTATTTAAAGCGACAACCCATAAATACTTAAAATTCGTGTAAGCACTCCTTAACATGCATGCATGCAAGAGGACCACGACAACGTTTTATCAATAAATGCTAATTTATTGACACAAATGGCTATTGAAGAACTTCTCTTCCTTCAGGTTCTCAAACAACACAATGAAATGCAACCACAAGACAACAGAAAGAGAAGCATTATTTACTGAAGCAAAACGGAGAGGCGAGCGAGTTGGTACTGATTTATAACAGTGTAAATGTAGCGCGAAAAAACACGGACAAGAAAGGGTACACCACAAGCACTTATTCCGACAAAATCCCGCACATGAGCATCGTGGGCGAAACAAAAGGCACTAAAGCGCTTGTGGTGTACCCTTTCTTGTTCGTGTTTTTTCGCGCTACATTTACGTTGTTATGAAGCATTATTTATCTCTCAACATTTGCTGGTGAATTAACACTGTAGCAATCAATCCCTTTAGAGTGACTCTATTACTGCAATGTAGCTACACTGAAATGGGTCACTCTGCCTTTTTAACTACGCCCCATTTCTACATCAATTTTTTATTCCTGCCTTTTGAGCTACTGTTAAAGTATCTATAATCAAAAATGTTTGATGTGTGTATGGTACTTCAACTATGACTAACCCAGTTCATGTGATTGCATGCAATGATTATGAGTTTTAGATCTAGTGCCTTTGCATGACAATAACACACTACCTAGGTTTAACATCCAAAACGCTGCTCGCATTTTACTGGTTGAGTTTCATTTTGTACTACCTGCAGTTGGTATGCTTAAAGGCCTGGATTACGCTCAGATGCTAAATCGAAAACTCCCTACCTTGGTCAAATGAGAGGAAGATACGATTGCTTTAAAAAACTAGCGGACATTACTTGCAAGACGTGACTGTGAGTAGAACTTAATGCATGAGCATGCAGGTAATGCACGCGACAATGTTAAAACAAAAAAAGAAATTAAAATAATCGCGAACATGCAGTGCGTGCTTGCGCCACTCACTTGATGTAGTCCCTGATCTTGTCCGCATGTGACCGGCACAACACGAAGGTCTCCTGGACGCCCTCGTTGCTCAGATATTGGAGCGTGTAGTCGATGAGCGGCCGATGGACAAGTGGCATGAGCACCTGGAGGTATTGACGTTCATAGATGTCACTCAATACCATCCACTGCGGCTGCTTAAAAGCAGAGGCGTTGCGCTGCTAGGGCGCCGGTGCGACTCCCGGCCACGGCGGCTACATTTAGATGGGGGGTAATGTGAAAGAACGCCCGTGTACAGAGACCTACGCGTATAAGGTAGACGGCAAGGCGCCCGAAATCCATCCGCAGCTGTGACGCGCCTCGTAGTTAATGTGTAGTTTTGGAACACTAGACCCCATAATTTTTTTTAAACATAAAGTAGCGGACATCGCTTTGGGTATACAGCCTAGAACTGTGCCTTGGATGACTCTGTGAGTGTGTCTGACTCAGATAAACATATTAAAAAGCAACGGCTAGAGGCGCGAATTCATCTAGATGCAAAACTCTACCGGCAGTGTTAGACGTCGTTCTTCGCGAGATGAACTGAATGTAAACAAACAGACAAGAGAACAGTAAACTCATAGGAATACCGCAGCCAGCCACCATCAATCGAGCTGTTTCAAAGAGCACTCCACACACGGCCGTTACATTTTAGGTGAACGTAATTCGCGAAACTTGGAAACATATGGATTACGACGTTTTGTGTACGAAAGCTGCAACGAGATCACGGTTACTTATGAGCAGCTGGAGAATGGAAAAGCACGTTAAAGGCCTGATCACCACGAACCAAACCAGAAACTCTCGTAGTTAAGACAGCGGCACCCGAAAAAGATGACGCCGCGGTTCGTGCGACACTGAACGGTTCGTGCAAGGGATGCGCCGGACATCGTTCGAGCAATGCTCCAAATACGATCGGAGTGCACAGAACAGAAGGTACCCTTACCCATGGATGTTCTTTTGTGATGGGCGCGAACCTGTCGTTAAAATTGTCGGCAGTCACGACAGCTTGAAGTATTTCTTCTTGTTTCAGATCGCTCCTGCCGACTTTCTTGCCCGTGGCGGCCACCATCTTTACGGTGTCTATGGCCATTCCTCGTTCATTCAAAAATATGTTTCTTGTTTCTGTGTTTCTTTAAGCATTGCTCTAAGTCGAGTACTAATCACTGATGCTTTGATACAGAAACAATACAAGTGAACCTTGTTAAGAGTTGCATATTTTTGTGCCGGTATAACCACTGGCGAAAACGCAGCGCCGGCACCGTGAAATGGGGCCGTGAAAGGTGAGTCGGTAGGATGCACCGTTTTCTAAGTATGCGGGCTTGTTGTAGGCGATCAACCGTTTGTGATATGACAGGCTGGTCTCTTATCGAGTGACATGTCAACTCATACTGCCACATTTCATTATAACCTGGATATCAACGCGCATGACATCGCGTTCCGGAGCTCAAATTTTTATCATGGCCGTATAACGATGATGATAGTTGGCGCGGGTTTTTCAGACGTATTCGAGACACCGAGGGCCACAAGTCTAAGGTGTTCCATCTAAGCCATTTTAGTTTGTGACATCTTTGCACTAATGGTGCCGCCAGGCCTGGAAAAAGTGCTTAGCTGACTAGCGTTTTCCGCGTCTCCTTTAATTTTTATTCTTGCCTCCTCTCTTCCGTTTTCATTTTTTCCACAGATTTCTCTGCACTTTTTTCATCTTTTATTTCTATTGTATTCAAATATTTATTTTTCTCCGTCTTTATTTCCCGCCTCCTTACTTTTTCTTTCTTCTTCAATTTTTACATGTGGTTTAGCATGCGGTGCCCCAAGCCACGACGACAGCATGCGACATCCCAGGTCAGAAGACGCTGCCGATCGGTAGTCAACGGAGGCTCCCGAGAACACATGAGCCAAATAATATAGCTCAGCCCGCTACCTGGAATTTACAATAAGTTATAAAAGTCAGCTCAAAAATCGCTTTCTGTGCTCTCGTAAAATGATGCTACACACTATGAAATTGGGCCTATGAAACAATCAATGTTTCATGCCGTCGTGTGATCAGAGCATGGCAAGGTCGAGTTACTGGAGCCGCCCCGAGAGGCCGCGATGTGTCCCCCGCGTGATGACACTGAAACGCCCTGCGTTTGAAGAAAAAAAAAGTATAAAAGTGCTTAATAAGGTTACAAGGCGCGCGTGACGCATTTTCTTTCCCGGTACCGCCTCTCTCTGTTCATTTTATAGTGCTTTTGCCTCAAAGCACAGCAGCACTTACCTCCATCGAAGCTACACTAGCGTACTCCCTTTTCCCAGCTCTGGCGCAAGATATGAATCCCCCCACTCCCCTATTCAGTATGTTCCACCAGTTAACCCGGTCCTGTGCTTGCTGCTGCCAATTTGTACCCGCAAACTTCTTAATCTGATCTGCCCACCTAACCTTCTGTCTCCCCCTAACCCGCTTGCCTTCTTTTGGAATCTAATTAGTTAACCTTAATGACCAGCGGTTATCCTGTCTACGCGCTATATGACCGGTCCATGTCCATTTCCTCTTCTTGATTTCAACTATGATATCCTTAACCCCCGTTTGTTCCCTAATCCACTCTCTCTTTTTTGTCTCTTGAGGTTACACCTACTATTTTTCTTTCCTTTGCTCGCTGCGTCGTCCTCAATTTAAGCACTAACTTTCTCACCATGCACTAACTTTCTTTATAATGTGATCAAAACGATAGCTTTTCGTTAGGCTGAGCCGTTGCGGGGGCAAACCGGGGCGCTGATAAGCACCATGGCCGCGGTATAGCCGCGGCTTCAGCGAAAACAACAAAAACGTAGTCGTTAGAGCCTTAAATTTCTTAGAGGTAAATCTTAAATAAAAACTAAACAGGTATTAGCCCTAAATGAGTCAACTAAATTAATACAAATTTATAGCAACCAAAGAGCAAGAAAGGCTGAGGCCGATCACAGCCACGAGGTTCTGTACCGGCTGGTGGTACCAACCAGTACAGATGTTGTTTAGATCGGTTGCCATTGCGCTCATATTTTAGGCATGATCCGAGGACATTTTGTCCAGTCTCAGGTCCGACTAAGATTTCGGCTTGGGTATGGCGTACGGTTCGAATTAGGTTGAGCAACGTGTCCTGAATTACAGCCACGCCAAACTCGAAGAAAAAAACTTGCTAAACATAAAAAGCAAACAAGAATAACACAAACAAAGAGAGCAGAAAAAAAAAAAAACTAATGAGCGCTGTTAATTCTTTATTCTCTCTGTACACATGCTACATTTATTACTCTGCCGTATAGCTATTTTCTGCGGACAGAACGATTGAAACAGAGGCACACGTTTTCTTTGAATATTATTTTCTTATGCACAGCAAAAGCTTTAATGAAAGCAAAAAAGTGCTTGTCCTTGTACGTTATACCAACGAAGCCGTGCAGCAGAGTGGCGCAGTGGAAGCGTGCTGGGCCCATAACCCAGAGGTCCGTGGATCGAAACCACGCTCTGCTATGATTTTTTTATTCCTTGCATTTGTATAACAGGGTGTTTTTTTTTCAGATGTTATAATTGATGATTGGGACTACAAGCACTTTGCATTAACTTTATTTTTTCCCGTTTCGTTAAGCTGACTCGGGTGGTGGCGACATCTGGGGACGTTTTGCTTAGCCTGAAAACACATACCACGGCCGGACTGGATGTGGTGCGCTTAGCCTGAGCAGCCACGGAAAGTGGCCTCAGGCAACGGGGAGTACAAGGACAACGGCACGTTCAACCAGGGGAGGGGGAGGGTGAGCTCTCTCACTGAAAAAACTTTGAGGGCGCTGAGCACCCCCACTTTCGACAGTGGTCACTCTTGCTGCACGCTGGAGAAACCAGCAAGTAAGGCGAAGTTTTCCGTCCCAACAGAAATCACTCAATTATGTTCTTACGGGAGAATGAAAATGTTACGAGGCATGCAATGCTACATCATAGTGAAATTTTGCCAACATTTCCTCTATGATGATTTTCCTTGTGGGCTCTTTGTGGTGCGGGTCACCTATGCGACGCTTTCGCCTCTTATAGTTTTGAAGAGCAAGCAAGCGCTGAACAGGGGCCCTACAATATTACATCACTCGTTCATGCGTTTATTCTGCTGTGACTTGTCGATAAATTGATAGATGGAAACGAAAAACTTTTTAAAGACCGGTCAACGCATTTGCTGCTTCCGGAAAATAATTTTATTAAAAAAGGATGTATCACCACCCCTTATCTGTCGAAACTCTTGCGAGCCGATCAGTGTGATGGATCGTTCTTGATGTTTAAGTTTTCCGTGCTGGAACGGCAAAATTGTTTCCGCTTTAGTCTCTGATAAACCCGATCAGCCTTCCTTATGGTAATTTATACCCATAGCGGCAGCTTGAAAAGTGGCCACGATCAAAGCAGTAAACTAGAGCTCAGTAGGAAGCTCAGCTTCTAAGCTTGCCCCACAACTTAACTCACTGGACCAGTGAGAAGGTGAAAGACCATGATTTTTAGCACTACGGAGGCTTAGTTAAGCGTTGAGCTAGTACGTTTTGACTCAAATTGATTTGTCTTTTACTGCTCAAAATACATCTCGAACAGCAAAGAAGCACACACGTGCAACACTGCTTATTTCTCTCTATTACTCTTTCTCTCAGCACGTATGAGCTCAGAAAGATGTATACGCGTACAAGCTACTTAACACCGTTATGATGCGAGTGGAATATTTTAATCATAATCCATCATGCCAGACGCTATAAGTAGCCGCTGCTTATGTGATTGGCAGCTAGCCTATTGAATTACATTTAAAAGGAGATAATATCCGGCTTGTTGACATCATGTAACAATCAGCAGATTTTGTGGCACACAGAAAATTTAAAGCCGAAGAGCCAATGGCAAACAATATGCCGTATTGAAAATAGTTTCTTCTGTTATTTTTTACGCGGTCGTGCATAAGTGGTCATTACGCGATGGATCATTTACGCGTGATTCGTTGCCTCGCGTAACAAGCTGGTGCTGAGCGCATGACAAATGCTGTGTACACCAATCATATACATGCTAACGACCATTTCGAAAGCAAGCAACGAGGGATATAACATTATAGTTACCCACATTTCGTTTTTTAGGAAAATTTTGTTTACACTGTTTGTATTGACGTATTTATGCAGGCTCCTGGGGGCCCCTTAAAAAATTTTAATACAGATACAATGAGTGTAAACAACGTAGTACGCCCCTCAAATTATACCTTTTTAAGGGAAATGGTCAAGAAGCTGATATTATGTAATTAACAGTAATATAATAATGGCGTTATAAATAATAATACCACGCTCCAGAAACAGTGTTCAGACTATTAGTGAACAAGGTAAATTTTAATACACATTCGTTGAAAAAAAAAACATGGCTGATCCCTCCTTCATGGGAATCGGTATATAAAGTAAAACGCGCTTTCAACGGGGTAATTAAATGTTTACTTAATAAAAGAGGTTTCGCCGAATGTATGTTTTGGTGTTTGGCAGCTATAGCCCCCTTCGACGTGGATGTGTCCTCGTTGACACTTGGTACACCTGCATTCGAATGACTAACATCCATGATAAATTTAATAAACAAACTATTGTGGTATCTGTAGATGTTAACCGCTAAAGCAAAATCAGAGAATGTGGCGGGATATCATGATGAGCGTCGCATATTGAACACGGAAATTGGACTAAGGGCGTCATTCCTCGGCCATGCTATAGTGTCATTGAAATTCGTGGTATCTAAGAAAGCGCGTCGTGTGACCTATGTGTATGCAAGTTCACGCCAAAGAGCGAGCGCGTCGATGAAGTTGATGATAATATGTCGGTTTTAATCGCGCAAGGGCAATACTTGGTCAAAGAGCGCATTAAGAATGATGAAAGAAGGTGTATGATCTGCGATTTAACAATGGTATTTGAAGCACGTCAACTATGAGCTATAGATGATACTGTTACGTGGCCGTAAAGGCGCTGAAAATCCCGCGCCTTGAGGCGGGTTAAAAGATAGACATATTAAAATCATGGCGGTGACGTGAAATGCCTGTAGCGGGAATGAATAGAGGTGGCCGAAGTAATAAAACCAGGATGGAAATAGATGACAATAGCACGACTGCCTCCACAACTCCCTTGGGCCCAAGGGCCGCGAGGAAGGTGCTTCGCGTTGGGGAAGATATATATATATATATATATATATATATATATATATATATATATATATATATATATATATATATATATATATATATGGCTGATTCCTGCTTCATGGGAATCGGTATATGAAGTAAAACGCGCTTTCAACGCTTTCAATTTCAAATTTTCAAGTTTATATAAAACAGTTCTACCTATAAATGTTTACATGGAGTAGTTCTATGCAGCATTTGTTTTTTTCATGTACTTCACGT